GAGCTCGCGGAACGCGAACGCCGCGTCGACGGCGCCCGCGGCGGCGACGAGCGGCGCGGCGTCGGGCGCCGCGGCGAAGCCGGCGAAGGCGAGCCGCGGCCGCCGCGCGCACTCGTCGCCGACCTCCGCGAGGAGCGCCGCGGCGACGCCCCGGTAGCCGAACGCGCCGTCGCACGCGACGACGCAGCCCGAGACGCGGTCGCAGGCCTCGAGCTCCCGGCGCAGGCGGTCGCAGGCGTCGTCCCACCACGCGGCGCCGAGGCCGCCGCCGTCGCGGCAGCCGGCGAAGAAGCCGCCGAAGCCGCTCAGCGCCTCGGCGCCGCCCCAGAGCGGCAGCGGCACGAGCGCGCCGTCGAACGGCGCGCGCGCGGCCGCGGCGACGGCGGGCGGCGCCGCCGCGTCCCACGCGGTCGCCGCGGACGCGACGACGGCGCCGCGCCGCGCGTCGAAGACGAGGCGCCGCTTGCGCCCGTCGCCGCGCCGCCGGAACGGGTCCTGGGCCGCGTCGACGGCGCCGTCGGTCCAGAAGGCGTCGAGGGCCGCGCAGGGGCCCACCTCGAGGGCGATGAGCTCGCCCATGAGCGCCGCAGCGGCGGGGAAAGGCGTCGCCGGGTGGACTTCGCTGTGGTCGCAGCGGGCACCAGAGCAGCGACGGGGCGCCGCCGCGGCAATCGCCGCCTTTGTTTGATGTGCACGTTGACGAATTGTTGATGTTGATTAGCTCTCTCGCACGACGAGCTCTTCGGGGCTGCCTCTCCTGCCCCGAGGGGTTCCGTGCGATGGCCTGCGCGCTCAACATGTCGCTCCCCGTCAACGCGTCGTGCGCCGGCGGCGCGACGGCCTTCGCCTGCACCTGCGACGCCGCGGCCTTTTGCTGCGACGACGACGACGACTGCGCTTGTCTGGGCCGCGACGGCGGCGACGAGCTCTTCTCCTTCAGCTGGCCGCTCGTCGCCGGGTGGTACGCCATGTTGGTCGTCCTCTTCTGCGTCGGCCGGCGGGGCCGCTTCGCGGCGCGGCTCTGCGGCCGCCGCGCGGCCGCGCCCGCCGCGGCCGCGCCCGCGGCCGCGCCCGCGGCCGCGCCCGCGCCGCCGCCGAGCGTCCGGACGCGGCGCCTCGCCGAGGGCGACGAGCGTGGCGACGCCTGCACGATCTGCCTCGGCGCGCTCAAGGCGGGCGACGCGGTCGCGATGCTGCCGCGCCCGCCGGGGCCGCGAAAGGGCGACGCGAGGTCGCTTCGACTCGCGCGGTCGCGCGACGCGTCGCCGAGAGGGAACGCGTCCACGCTTCGAGCGATGATCGCCCGTCCGAAAGCGAGCCACATCGGAGCGGGACGCGACCGCGAGCGGCGCCTCCGAAGTTGGGAGCGTCGCGCCCTCGTTAGGTGCCCGCACGTCTACCACGAGGAGTGCCTCCGCACGTGGCTGAAGCGCAAGGCGAGCTGCCCCCTCTGCGCCCGGCCCATCGTCGATGACGTCGAGGCGCCCGACGACGCGCGAGAGGGCGGCTGCGACGCGGCGCGCGACGTCGAGGGCGGCGGCGACGCCGCGGCCGACGCGGACGCCGCGCCCGCGGAGGCGGAGCCGGCCGCGCCCGCCGCGCCCGCCGCGGCGCCCGCCGCCGCGCCCGCCGCGCCCGCCGCGTCCGCCGCGCCCGCCGCGCCCGACGCGCCGCCAGCCCCGGCCCCGCCGCCCCCGCCGGCCGAGGAGCGAGACGCGATCTAATGATCGAAGCCGCCGCCGGTCGCTCTCCGGGAGCGGAGGTTGTTGTGGAAGCGCCCGTCAGAGGGAGAATGGCCCTCCGCGAGACTCGCCAGGACGGCGCGTGGAGCGACGAGGTCGGCGCGGCGGTCGGCGGCGAGATCGTCGAGGAGGCCGCCAGCGCCCGGGCGAGGAGGCCTCCGAGCCGGCTGTGTGGCGAGGGGGCGGCAAATTCGAGGACGTCAGAGGAAGAGGAGAACCGAGCAGTCACCGAGCAATCAACGAACGCGCGTCGCGGCGTCCGCCCCCGCCCGACGTCCTGCGCTCGCTCGGGGCACACCTCCGAATCCTGCGAACGGGGGAGACGCCGCGCGACGGGGGGGGGGAGAAGCGCCGAGATCGACCGCGCCGCCGCCCGCGCCGCCGCCCCGGGCGCCGCGCCGCGCCGCCGCGCCGCGCGCCGGGCGCCCGACCCGCGGGGGGAGACGCCCCGCCCCGCTCGGCGCCGCCCCTCTCGGCGCCGCGCGCGCGCGCGCCGCCGGACCCGCGCCGCCGGCAGGTGTTTTCGACGATGCGCGCGCTCCGCGTCGCGGCCCTCCTGGGCGTCGCGCGGGCCTACATCTGTCCGGTCAAGAACTCCGTGCCCCACGAGGCGTCGGGCGACTCGTCGCCGGACGACTGGTACGACGCCGACAAGGAGGCCGAGGACGAGAGTCCGCTCGTCCACTTTAACGTCGGCTACGTCGGGGACGGGTACCAGGCGCAAAAACATCGCGCCGTGACCACGGGGGACATGGACGGCGCGCGGCCGCGTCCCGGGCGCGCGCGCGCGCGCGCGCGACGCTTCGATCGCAGGCGACGGCTCCGTGGACGTCATCGCGATCTCCGAGGTCGCGTCGAAGCTGCGGCTGACGGTCTTTCTCAACGACGGCAGTCCCAGCGCCCCGAGCTTCGTCGGGACGACGATCCGGGACGGCACCATCTGCGACGACTACAGCTCCGTCGCCGTCCTCGACGCGGACGGCGACGGAGACCTCGACATCCTCGTCGGCTGCGTCGAACACGTCGTCCTCTACACGCAGGAAGCGGGAGGCGTCGCCGAGCGCTTCACCAAGAGCGAGCCCTTCGAATTTGGCTGGGCCTTCGACGGGGCGGCGGGCGTCGCGCTCGCCGTCGGCGTCGCCGACGTCGCGGGCGCCCCGGGCGTCGACCAGGTCGTCGTCGTCACCGGCGGGCCGCCGCCCGAGTCGGGCAACGGGGCGGGGAGCCTCGGCCTGCACTGCCAGAACGTGGACGCTCCCGACCACACCCCGGTCGATAATTGGGTGACGGTCGACCTCCCGACGGACTACGCGACCGTCGACGTCGCGCTCGTCGACGTCGACGGCGACGGCCACGTCGACGTCGCGCACGGCCACGCCGACGGCGTCGAGTTCTTCTCCATGGACGACCCGACGGCGAACCAAAAGTTCCGCGCCTGGTCGCGGCGCCACGCGCTCGCCGTCGCCGACTTCCAGGGCTTCGCCTTCGGCGACGTCGACGGCGACGGGTGGCCGGACATGGCGACGGCGACGTCGACGGGCATCGTCTCCTGGCGCGCCGCGTATGGGGCGCGCGACACCATCGAGTGGGAGGCGGGGTCCGACGCGGGCTTCGGCACCTCGGTGTCCATGAGCGCCGACGGCGCCACCGTCGCCGTCGGCGCGCGCGGCCACGGCTTCGTCCAGGTCCTCGACTGGGACCCGGACGCGGACGAGGGAGCGGGCTCGTACGTCCTGCGCGGCGACCCCGGTGACTCGACGATCGTCGACCCGACCTGCGATGTCTCGCCGTGCGTCGACGGTGGTGGCTTCGGGAGCGTGGTGTCGCTGAGCGACGACGGTCTCACCGTCGCCGTCTCGGAGCCGTCGTACGATCGTCTCTGCCCTACCCCCCTGTCCTGCCCGGAGGGGCAATCCACCGCCAATGAATCGGGGGCGGTGCACGTCTTCGAATGGAAGAGCGGCGAATGGCAACAAAAGGGCGACCGCATCTACGGAGAAGACGCGTACGGCGACTTCGGAACCGCGCTCGCGCTCAGCGGCGACGCGACCGTTCTGGCCATCGGCGCGCCGCGCGCCCCGGCGCAATCGTCCGACGGCTTCGTGCACGTCTACGCGTGGGACGGCGCCGCGTGGACGAAGCGCGGCGACGACGTCTTTGAGCTGAAGCCGGCGCAAGGAAAATTCGGCTCGTCCGTCGCGCTGAGCCGAGACGGCGCCGTCGTCGCCGTCGGGTCGAGCAACCACGGGGCGACGGCCGGCGTCGCGCACGTCTTCGAGTGGGACGGCGCGGCCTGGGCGCAGCGAGGCCAGGCCCTCGACGGCGAGGCGGGCGACGAGGCGGGGCATTCGGTCGCGCTGAGCGCCGCCGGCGACGTCGTCGCCGTCGGCTCTCCCTCCAGCGACGACGTCGCCGACGCCACCGTCGAAGACGTCGGCCGCGTGCGCGTCTGGGCCTTCGACGCGGACACGGACGAGTGGGTCCGGCGCGGCGCGGACGTCGACGGCCGCGCCGAGGAGAACTTCAAGGCGGGCGCGTCCGTGGCGCTGAGCGCGGACGGCGCCGCGCTCGCCGTCGGCGCGATCGGGAACGACATCGCCAGCGCCAACCCGGGGTGCGTGGGCGTCTTCGTCTGGGACGGCGCCGCGTGGGCGCAGCGCGGGACGTGGGACGACGCGGCGGCGCGCGACGACGCGCGCGGCGGCGACACCGTCGCGCTGTCCGCGGACGGCGGCGTCGTGGCCTTGGGCGCGCCGGAGGACACGGGCGGCTCCCCGACGGGCGCGCCGACGGGCGCCGTGCACATCTACGCGCGCGGGCTCCCCTACGCCGCGGAGCGGAGCCAGCAGCTCACTACAGACAACCGACACCAGGTCCACCTCGCGGACCTCGACGGCGACGCGGACCTCGACGTCGTCGCGATCCACCGCGACCGGTCCAGCGTCGTCGAGCACGAAAACCTGGGTCCCGGCCGGGGCGAGGCGACCTTCGCCACAAACACCGGCCCCATCTGGTCGGACAAACTGGACAGTTCGGTGCGGAGCGTCGCCGTCGCGGACCTCGACGGCGACGGCGACGTGGACATCGTCGTGGGCGCCGACGCGTACCTCCCCCGCCACACGCACAAGTACGTGGACTGGCTCGAGAACCCGTGCGCGGCCAACCCGACGGCCGCGCCGACGGCCGCGCCGACGGCCGCGCCGACGGCCGCGCTCGTCTGCGCCGACGGCGAGCGGCGCTTCCTCAACACGCACGCGGCGTTCGCCGACGAGGCGGACGCCGCGCCCGCGCTCATCGAGGTCTCCGGGACGGGCCACGACGCCATCGACGGGCGCTACTTCCGCAACCGGGACGACGGCTTCGGCGGCGATTCGTGCGACCTCCTGAGCGGCCTCCGGTGGGACCACGAGTTCACGGCCGGCGTCCGAATCCAACGCGCGGACGCGGACAAGTACTACATCGACGAGGCCGGCTTGGGCATCTTCTACGAGGCCCAGGGCTCGACCTGCGACCCGAGCGCGCTCGCCTGGACGGCCAAGGCCGGCGATCTCCACGCGCCCTGGAACGGCTACGGCTGGGTCCCCGAAGTCCCGGACGTGACGGCCTTCCGCAAGCGGGCCCGCGCGTCGTTCGCGGACGCGACGGCGAGCAACGCGGCGGCCGCGTGGCAGACGATCGAGCGCGTCGCGAGCGAGACGGTCTACGAGTACCTCGAGTACCCCGGCGTCGGCCTGGGCATGGGCTGGTGCGAGTCCGGCTACGTCTTCGGCGAGAGCAGCGGCCGCGCCGATTACGAGGGCCCGAAACCGATCCCGCTCGTGTACTGCAAGGCTCTCTGCGACGCGGCGCCCAACTGCGCGGGCTTCGACTGGAGCACTCATGGGTGGGAATGCCGCGGCTACGGCGCGGTCGAGCCGGAGGCGGGAGGCGGATGCTATCCGAACTCTGGGTACAACGTCTACGTGCGGTACGCGGCGGCGGAGGACGTCGCGGCCGTGTCGCTCTACCTCGCGGGCTCGGGCACCGCGCGCCTCGACGTCTACGACGCCGACGACGTCGACGACGGACGCGCGGCGAGCGCCGACCCCGCCGTCCGCTTCGCCGGGCTCACGTCCGTTGCGGCGTCGGCGGCGACGGCCTTCGATTCGGGGGCGACGACGGCCTTCTCGGAGGTGCGCTTCGCGGACTTCTCGCCGCCCCTGAGCTTCTCCGACGCGCGGACCGAGTTCTACGTCTGGCTCCGGGCCGTCGGCGACGACCTCGACGCGTCCGCGCGGCGGGGGGGCGCCGACGCGCTTGGGGGCGCCGGCGCCGCCGAGGGGGTCGCCGGGCGCCTCGACCACGCGGTCTACGTCGGCGACGCCGGCTGGACGTGCCTCCCGTGCCCGGACGGCGCGTTCACCGACCCGGACGACGCCGGCGCGTGCGCGCGGCACGACCCGACGCCCGCGCCGACGCTCGCGCCGACGGCCGCGCCGTCGACGGCCGCGCCGCACGCGCTCGCGCCGACGGCCGCGCCGACGGGCGAAGTCGCGCCGACGCCGTCCCCGACGGCCGCCCCGACGGCCGCGCCGACGGCCGCGCCGACGGCCGCGCCGACGGCGGCCGCCGCGCCGGTGACCTTCGCGCCGTCGCCCACGGTCGCGTGCGGCCCCCACCAGCGGCGGGCAACGAACGCGGGCGCGGGCCTCTGCGAGGACTGCGGCGCGGGCCTCACGTACGTACAAGGCTGCCGCGCGACGACGCTCGAGGCCGCGTGGGTCCACGCCGACGGCGAGGCGACGGGGGAGGCCGAGCGCCGGTGCGCGCCGTCCGGCGGCGGCTGCGCGCTCGCCGTCGTCTACGACGGCCGCGCGGAGGACTGCGCGTCGTTCCGCGTCTCCGCGTCGTGGGCCGCGGACGTCGGCGACGGCGCGGGCGCCGGCGGCGGCGCCCGCCGCCTGACGGAGGGCGTCTACGCCATCGGCGCCGCCCGCGAGGCCTGGCCCGACTACGTCGCCGGCGGCTTCGACGACGTCCACGGCGCGGCCGCGGGCGACCACGGCGGCAGCGACGACAACTCCGGGTGGCTCGCGCTCTCCGCGGACGGCGCGACGATGGCCGTCGGCGCGACGCGGGCCGTCACCGTCCTGGCCTCGGGCGACGTCCAGGCGGGCCACGTCCGCGTCTTCCGCGGGACGCCGTGGACGCAGCTCGGGGCCACGCTCGACGCGGCGAACGTCGACATCGGCGCCGGCGCGCGCTTCGGCGCCAGCGTGGCCCTGAGCGCGGACGGCGCCGTGCTCGCCGTCGGCGCGCCGGATTCGGGGGCGGGGGGCGCCGTCTTCGTCTTCGAGTACGACGCGTCGGTCGCGGGGGGCTGGGTCGCGGTCGACGCCAGTCCCGACTTCCAGGACTTCCAGGCGGGCGCGAGCTTCGGGCACTCCGTCTCGCTCTCGGCCGACGGTGCCGTCCTCGCCGTGGGGGCGCCCTTCTTCGACGACGGCGAGATCAACCGGGGCCAGGTGTCCGTCTGGGAGCGGCAGGCCGATGGCGCGTACTTCTCCGTCTGGGCGCAGCGCGGCGGCGACGTCGACGGCGAAGACGGCGAGGGCGCGCTCGGCTGGTCCGTGGCGCTGAGCGCGGCGGGCGACGTCGTCGCCGCCGGCGCGCCCGGCGACGCCAACGACAAGGTCGGCCACGTCTACGCCTGGGAGTGGCGGGGGCGGTGGGTTCCGCGGCGCACCGCGGGCCTCGAGCGCGTCGGCGGCGAGGAGGTCAACGTCGGCCGCGCGATCGCGCTCTCCGCGAACGGCGCCGTCCTGGCCCTCGGGTCCTACCGCAACGACGGGAGCTCCGGGGGGGATTGCTGCGACCGGGGCGTCGTGCGCGTCTACGAGTGGCGCGGCGACGCCGCCGGCTGCGCGCAAATAGGCGACGACCGCGATCCCCCCTGCTGGGCGCTCCGCGGCGACGCCATCGACGGCGCGGCGCCGTACGACAACTTCGGCCGGTCCGTCGCGCTCTCGGCCGACGGCCTCGTCGTCGCCGGCGGCGCGCCGGGCCACGACACCGGGGGCTTCCGCGTGCCGGCGTCATTCACAGACAACCCGGAGCTGGTCGGCGAGTACCGTCTATTCCCGTATTCCTTCGACAAGACGGGTGCCGTCGTTTCGGACCCGCTGGTCGGTCTGTACGAGCGCAGTGAGGACGATGGGAGCGAGGTACGAGTGTACGTGGCGGCGCTGTTTACAAACGACGGTTGGGACATGTGGTCGGTGCAGAAGCGCACGTTTGCGGGCGCTGATTACGCCGACGCGCTCGCTCTTCATAATGCGGGCACTGGGCATGTCGACTACTCGAGCGGCTACGACTTCACGGCGTCTCCGTGGCAGCCTATCGGTACCGCGAGTCATCCGATGGAGGCCATGCGCGCGTATCAGGCATTCGCCGACGGACGGCGCCACCCGGCCCAGATGCAAGCCGACAACAGCCCGACGGAGACGACGCCCGCCGCCGATGCCGCGGGCCACGCGCGCGTCCTCGCCTGGGACGGCGCGGCGTGGCGGCCGCGCGGCGCGGACGTCGACGGCACGCGCGCGTCGCCCGACGGCGCCCGGGACGGCCTCGGCGTCGCCGTCGCCCTGAGCGGCGACGGCGCCGTCGTCGCCGCCGGGGCCGCGACGGACGAAGACCAGACGGCCCGGGGCTACGTCGCGACGCGCGCGTGGACCGCGTCGTCGGACCCGCCGGTCGCGTCCGTCGACCTCACGGACGGCCGCACGCTCGCCGCGGACGGCGCGAACCACGTCTACGACGTCGTCGTCTCCTGCGTCGGCTCGGACGGCGGCACGACGAGCCCCGAGGCCCCGAAGCTCACGCTCGAGATCGTCGGCTACCCGACGGCCGCGCCCACGGGCGCGCCCACGGGCGCGCTGACGGCCGCGCCCGCGGCCGCGCCGACGGCCGCGCCGACGGCCAACCCGACCCCCAACCCGACGGCCAACCCGACGGCCGCGCCCACGGGCGCGCCGACGGCCGCGCCGACGGGGACGCCGACGGCCGCGCCGACGGCTGCTCCCACGGGGACGCCGACGACGCCCGCGCCGACGTCGCGGCTCGTCTGCGGCCCGCACCAGCGCGTCGAGGTCCCTGTCGTCGGCACCAACGCCTGCGTCGACTGCCCGGCGGGGGAGACCAACGACCCCCAGGACGACAGCGCGTGCCGCGACGCCTCCTGGACGATCGAGTCCGTGAACGACGCCACCACCGCCCCCTACGAGTGCCCGCACGCGGGACCCTGCGCCATTCTCGTCGCGTACGCGGGCCGCTTCAGCGAGTGCTTCGGCATCGAGCTGACGGCCCAGGTCCAGGACTGCGTCCAGGACTGCGATGATGTCCGCGAACTCGCGCCCCCCGCGGATCCCGAGGACGGCTTCGCGCTCACCGTGCAGCTCATCGACGAGGACTGGAGCCCCGCCTTGCATCCGTCGATGGTCGTCGAACGCGTCGCGGTCACGGTCCGCTGCACAAACGACGCTCCCACCGCGGCGTCTTCGGCGACGGTCACCGTCGTCGTCGTCGACATCCCGACGCCGGCGCCGACGGCCGCGCCGACGGCCGCGCAGACGGCCGCGCCCACGGCCGCGCCGTCGGCCGCGCCGACGCCCGCGCTCGTCTGCGCCGACGGCGAGCGCCGCTTCCTCAACGCCGTGCCGGGCTTCGCCGAGTCGCCGGCGCTCCTCGTCGTCGCCGGCACTGGCCGCGCCGACGTCGACGGGCGCTACTTCGCCGTCGTCGAGGAGGCCGAGCGAGTCGTCGGCGACGGCGCGTGCAACGTGGAGAACGGCCTGAGCTACGTCCACGAGTTCGAGCAGAGCACGCTGCGGCGCAGCGACGCCGGCAGCTGGGCCATCCTTGCCCTCGTCCAGGACAGCCTGACCACCGTCTACACCGACGCCGGGGGCGAAACCTCCGTGTGCGACCCCGAGGGGTTTTCATGGACCGAGTTCCACGAGTCGGTCTTGGACAACCCGACGGTGACCGCCTTCGACGGCGAGCCCGGCTGGCAGTGCCTCGACTGCCCGGCGGGGACGAGCACGGACCCGGACGACGCGGACAAGTGCCTGCGGCCCGACCCGACGGCGGCGCCGACGACGTCGCCGACGGCCGCGCCCACGGGGACGCCGACGCAGGCTCCCACCGTGACGCCGGGCGAGCCGACGCTCGCGCCCGCGACGCCCGCGCCCACGGCGGCGCCCACGGCCGCGCCCACGGGGACGCCGACGACGTCGCCGACGGCCGCGCCCACGGGGACGCCGACGCAGGCTCCCACCGTGACGCCGGGCGAGCCGACGCTCGCGCCCGCGACGCCCGCGCCCACGGCGGCGCCGACGGCCGCGCCCACGGGGACGCCGACGACGTCGCCGACGGCCGCGCCCACGGGGACGCCGACGCAGGCTCCCACCGTGACGCCGGGCGAGCCGACGCTCGCGCCCGCGACGCCCGCGCCCACGGCGGCGCCGACGGCCGCGCCCACGGGGACGCCGACGACGTCGCCGACGGCCGCGCCCACGGGGACGCCGACGCAGGCTCCCACCGTGACGCCGGGCGAGCCGACGCTCGCGCCCGCGACGCCCGCGCCCACGGCGGCGCCCTCGGTCACTCCGACGCCCGCGCCCTCGGTCACGCCGACGCCCGCGCCCTCGGTCTCTCCGACCCCGGCGCCCACCGTGACGCCGGGCTCGCCGACGCTCGCGCCCGCGACGCCCGCGCCCACCGCCGCGCCGACGGCCGCGCCGACGCTCGCGCCCTCGGTCGCTCCGACGGCCGCGCCCACGGGGACGCCGACGCCCGCGCCCTCGGTCTCTCCGACCCCGGCGCCCACCGTGACGCCGGGCTCTCCGACGCTCGCGCCCGTGACGCCCGCCCCCACCACCACCGCGCCCTCGGCCACTCCGACGCCCGCGCCCTCGGTCACTCCGACGCCCGCGCCCTCGGTCTCGCCGGCCCCGGCGCCCACCGTGACGCCGGGCTCGCCGACGCTCGCGCCCGTGACGCCCGCCCCCACCACCACGCGCCCTCGGTCACTCCGACGCCCGCGCCCTCGGTCACTCCGACGCCCGCGCCCTCGGTCTCGCCGACCCCGGCGCCCACCGTGACGCCGGGCTCGCCGACGCTCGCGCCCGTGACGCCCGCCCCGACGCCCGCGCCCTCGGTCACTCCGACGCCCGCGCCCTCGGTCACTCCGACGCCCGCGCCCTCGGTCTCGCCGACCCCGGCGCCCACCGTGACGCCGGGCTCTCCGACGCTCGCGCCCGTGACGCCCGCCCCGACGCCCGCGCCCTCGGCCTCCCCGACGCCCGCGCCCTCGGTCACGCCGACGCCCGCGCCCTCAGTCACGCCGACCCCGGCGCCCACCGTGACGCCGGGCTCGCCGACGCTCGCGCCCGCGACGCCCGCGCCCACCGCCGCGCCGACGGCCGCGCCGACGCTCGCGCCCGTCGCGCGCGAGCCGCCGCCCCTCGAGCTCTTCGAGGAGGGCGCGCCGAGTGCCGCGCCGACGCTCGCGCCGACGCTCTGCGCCGACCGGCCGCCCGAGGACCCGCCGGGCCTCGCGGCCGTCTCGTTCGACGCGACGGGCGCGTCGATCGTCGCGACCCGCGCGGAACCCAAAACTTCAACCCGACTTGAGGGAGGACGACTCGTCCGAATGACCGCGATTTTTACCGAGCGAGAGAGTTCCGAAGTGTGGTCGGGAGACCCCGGCTCACTCGTCGATGTCCGCGCAGGTCGCGACGTTCGGAGGCGCGACGGACCGCGCGGGCCTCGCGGCCGCGTTCGCCTGCGGCGACGTCCTCGTCGTCGACGGCCTCGGCGAGGGCGCGACGTGCTACTTCGAGGACGCGTATACGCTGCGCGTCGTGCCCGGCGCGGCGAGCGCCGCGGCGCCCGGCGGCCGCGCGTGGCTCCGGCCGGAGCCGCGGCCGCGCGGCGTCCGCGCGTTCCCCGGGCCGGCCTGCTGGGCCGCGGCGGCGGGCGGCGAGGCGACCGCCGTCGTCGTCGCGGCGCCGCGGGACGCCGTCGAGCCCGCCGTCGCGCTCGCGGCGCCCGCGGCCGTCGCCGCGTGCGGCGCCGTCGCCGTCGACATCCTCGCGTCGACGGGCGACGGCGGCCGGCCCTGGGCCGACGTCGTCTGGACCGTCCCCGCGGGCGCGGTCCTGGCCGACGGGGCGCGGGGCGCGCCGTCGGCGACGCTCGCCGACGTCTCCGCCTTCGCGGGCGGCGAGCTCGCGGTGAGCGTCGAAGCGACGAACTTCCTCGGCGGCGCCGACGCCGCGTCCGCGACGATCGCCGTGCGCGCCGCGGCCGTGCCCGACGTCGTCGTGCCCGGCGACTTCTCCGCGGAGCGCCGCGGCGACGTCGTCGAGCTCGTCGCCGAGGCCGTGGCGAGCGCCTGCCCCGGCGAGGCGCCGGACTCCGCGCGCCTCGTCTACGCCTGGGCGTCGACGGCCGGCGGCGAGCAGCTCTCGGAGCCGAACAAGTTCCGCCTGCCGGCGCACGCGACGGCCGCGGCCTTCGTCGACGTCGAGGTCACGGTCACGGACCGCCTCGGCCGCGAGAACGCCGCGTCCGCGCGCGTGACCTACGCGCCGAGCCCGCTCGAGGCGGCCATCGCCGGCGCGGACCGCCGGTCCGTCGCCGTCGGCGCGGTCGCGGAGCTCGACGGCGCCGGGAGCCGCGACCCCGACGTCGCCGCGGGCGCGCCGGCGGCCCTGGCCTACGCGTGGTCCTGCGTCGACCCCGCGGGCGGCAGCTGCGGCGCCGCGTCGACGGCGACCTTCGCCTTCACGCCGGCCGCGGCGGGCGACCACGTCGTGACGCTCGCGGTGTCCGGTGGCGGCCGCGTCGCCGAGGCGACGGCCGAGCTCGACGCCGCCGTCGTCGTCGACCCGCGGGGCGTGCCGGACGTCGGCGTCGTCACGGCCTTTGAGCGGGCGACGGCGTCGGGCCTCTGCAAGTTCCAGGCGGACGTCGGGGGCGACTACGTCGACGAGGGCATCAGCTACGTCTGGCGGGTCGTCGAGGGCGCGCTCGAGGGCTCGCTCGCGTCCGTCGCGGCGTCGCCCGCGAGCGGCGACGTCTTCGCCTACCGGCTCGTGTCGCTGGACGTGCCCTGCGACGCGCTCACGGCCGCGGGCGGCCCCTACGGCATGGAGCTCTCGGCCAAGTACGCGGACGGCGACGAGGAGGCCCGGGCCGTCGTGAGGTACGCGCCCGCGAGCCCGCCCAAGGCCGGCGAGCTGCGCGTCGACCCGCCCCGGGGCGTCGAGGCGACGGACCTCTTCCAGCTGAGCCTGCCCGACGCGGCGTCGTTCGTGCCGGATCGGCCCAAGCTCGAGTACGCGTTCTTCGAATCCGACGAGGCCTGCGAGTCCGAGGCCTGCGAGTTCGCGATCGTGCAGCGGGGGCCGTCGTCGCGGCCCGGCCCCGTGACCCTGAGCGCGGGCCTCGCCGCGATGGCCGGCGAGGCCGCGCGGAAGCGGGTCGTGGCCTACGTCTGGGACGCGGACGGCACGCGCGCGCGCGCCGAGGCCTGGGTCGACGTCGTCCCGCTCGCGGACCTCGGGGCCGTCGAGGAGGCCGCGGCGGAGGCCATCGAGGAGGCGCTGGAGACCGACGACGTCGACGAGCTCGTCAACGCCATCCACCAGACGGCGACGATGCTCCGGCGCCTCGCCGCGGTCGACGCCGCGACGTCGGCGCCGAGCCGCGCGCCGACGACGCTCGCGCCGACGACGCCCGCGCCGTCCGTGACGCCGGGCGCGCCGACGCCCGCGCCCGCGACGCCGCCGCCGACGACGCGGTCGCCGACGACGCGCGAGCCGTCGCGCGCGCCGACGGGCGCGGCCGCGCGCGCCGAGGCCGAGGCCGCGGCGGCCGCGGCGTTGGAGATCAAGGTCGAGGTCGTCGCGGAGCTCATCGACGCCTTCGAGGCCGTCGTCGAGCTCCAGGCCGACACGGTCGACGAGCAGGAGACGATCAACACGCGCGCGATGATCGCCGACGCCGTCACGGCCGACGTCGAGGCCCTCGAGGCCCAGGCGCCGGAGGAGCAGGACGCGCTCGCGGCGACGGTCGCCGACGTCGTGAGCTCGCTGCGGGACGTGCCCGTGGCGGCGGACGCGGCGGCGAGCTTCCTCAAGACGCTCGGGCGCCTCGACGGCCTCGGGCTCTTCGCGGGGAGCGAGAAGATTGCGACGCCGGCCTACGGCGACCGCGCGGCGGCCCCCGCGGCGGCGGCGCGGCGGCTCGAGGACGCGCCGGCGACGTTCGCGTCGCTCCTCGACGACGTCGCGGCGTCGCTCCTCGTCGAGGCGACGCCGGGCGCTGACGCCACCGACATCGACGACGGCGCGGGCCTGCGGCTCGTCGCGACGCGGCTGCTCGCGTCGACGACGGGCGCGTCCGCGTCGGGCGCGAAGACCTTCAAGAGCGTCAACTTCTACCGGCGCGTCGGGCCCGACGCCAAGGTCACGACGGGCAGCGACGACGCCGACGTGTCCGTCGTCCGCTACGCGCGCGACCCGCACCCGTCGGCCGCGACGCCGGTCCTGTCGGAGGCGCGGCGCGTCGGCGTCGGCAGCGGCGCGGCCGCGACGTTCAAGCTCTCGCTGCCGACGACGGCCGGCGGCAACGCGACGCTCGGCGACCTGCCGCCGGCCTCGGATGCGACGATCTTCCTTGTTTGTGGTGAAACAACTTCGGCGACGTACTGCGAGGGCGCCGTCGCCGAGGCGGACGTCGCCGCGGACGTCTGCGCGGGCTGGAACGCGTCGACGCGCGTCGCCGTCGCGCTCTCCTGCGCCTACGCGGCCGCCGTGCGCTGCGAGGTCTTCGACGAGGACGGCGGGGACTGGGTCGACGCGGACGGCTGCGCCGTCGACGAGGCGTCGTCGGACTCGGAGCAGACGACGTGCGCGTGCGCCGCGGCGCCGGGCGCGCCGCCGCGCGACTACGCGGCGATGTCGTCCGCGGACGCCTACGCGGCCTACGCGGCGACGTCCTTCAACGACCCCCTGTCGACGAGCCTCCTCACGCAGAGCTGGGTCGTCTTCTCCTTCATGGCGTCGTGCGCGGCCGTCTGGCTCAGGGCAGGAAAAGGGTGCGAAATTCCCAACTTCAAAGGCTCCTATCTCGGCCGTTTTCCACTCGTTTCGGCTGATTTTTGGACGAGCGATCATCTCTTGGAACGGTCTCGAAGCGTGGATGCTTTTTTTGGAACGCGCGGGCGCGGAACACTCACGTTGAAGCGAACTTGAATCTCTCTTTTCCTGCCCAGGTCTGGCTCGCGTTCGCCGCCGTCGGCCACGCGCTCGACCGGCGCTTCGAGAAGCGCGAGGCCGCGCGCGAGGCCGCGGCGTCGCGCGCGGCGGCGACCAAGGCGCGGCGGCCGTCGTCGGCGCGCCAGCGCACGCGGCTCCACCAGCTCGAGAAGTCGCTCGCGAAGCAGAAGCTCAAGGCGCAGCTCACGCCGGCGTCGTCCGCGCGCGACCTGAAGGCGCACGCGCGGTCCGTGCACCGCGCGGTGCTCCGCGCGTCGCTGCCGTCCGTCGTCACGAAGCACCGCCTCGTGCGGCGCACGCTGCGCAACCCGGACGAGGCGGAGGCCAAGTCCTTCAAGGAGCTGCGCCTCGTGCTCTGGACGGTCTACTACAACCACTCGTGGTTCTCCATCGCGTCCGTCTACTCGCGGGACCACCCGCGGTGGCGGCGCTGCCTCCTCGCCTTCTTCGAGACCATGATCATCGCGGTCTGCGAGGCCGTCACGGCCTGGGTGTCCTACCCCGTGGGGCTCTGCAAGGTCGCGGACGACGCGGCGAGCTGCGAGAACATCCGGTCGTCGACGTCGTTCGGCACGGACAACAACTGCCGCTGGGACGTGTCCACGGAGCCCGAGTGCGTCTTCGACCCGCCGCGGGGCTCTGGCGAGATCTTCTTCATGCGCCTCCAGATGGCCGTCGTCTCCGTGGCCATCACGCTGCCGCTCCTGAAATTCGCGAACTGGATCTTCGACTCCTACGTCTTCGCGCCCGTGGTCACCGCGTCCGAGCTCGCCGCGCGGCGGCGCCGCGGCTCAAACGCGGGCGGCTACCCGTCGGAATTCCTCGCCGGGCGCCAGCTGCTGGCGAACCTGGGCATGGACGAGGTGCCCGACCCGCGCTACAAGCGCGACGACCGGCTCACGCGGCTCCTCCAGCGGGCCTTCGGCGGGTCCGCGGCGGCCAAGGAGGTCAAGCGCGCGCGGACGGCGGAGCGCATCGCCCACGCCTTCGCGTCCCTCGCGCGCTGGCAGACCATGCGCCTCGTGCTGCGCCAGCGCCAGGAGATCCGCGACGCGATCGCGGACCTCGACGACGGCGTCTACGACGGCGCGGTCGCGCCGCCGCCGCGGCGCGGCGCGGCGCCGCCGCCGGCCGCGGCCGGGCCCGACGTCGTGGGGACCGTGGCCGCGGCGGGCGGCGCGACCTTCGACCGGCGCGCGCTCCTGCGGCGGACGGCGAACATGCGGAGCCTCCGGGACTTTCTGGACCGGCGCGCGGCGTCGCCGTACCGCAGCGCGCTCGTCGCGCTGCTGCGGCACCACGGCGCGTACTGGCACCTCGACCCGGACGCGTTCTTCTGGCAGCGGACCTTCGCGACGCGCGTGCACGCGGTGCTCGTGGACTCGATCACGGTCGCGAGCCGGTGGATCGACAGGATCCACGACGGCGACGCGGCGCACGCGAAGCGCCTGCTCGCGCTCTACCAGCTCAAGGTCGCCGAGGAGCTCCACGGCATCGAGCGCGACCTCTTCTACCGCCACTGCTCCCTCGAGGCCGTCAAGGACGCGGGCGCCGCGGGCGCGGACGCCGTGTCGCCCAACGCGCGGCGCGCCGCCGTGGGCGTCGTCTGCCTGGCGCTGGTCGGCATGGGCTACTTCATGCTCTTCTTCGCGCGGGCCTACGACCGGGGCAGCATGCAGGAGAACTGGCTCTACGCGACGGTCATGACCATGTTCCTCATCATCTTCGTCTTCGAGAATCTGCGGTCGCTCATCCTGCTCATCTACCTGCCGGCGCTGCTCGTGCCCAAGCTGCGCCACATCCGCGACCCGCTCCACGTGCCCCTCGTGCCCTTCCGGCACGAGACGCCCGTGACGCCCGTGCAGCTCGTCGACGTCCGCGAGGCGCGCGCGGTGCTCAAGGCGTCCGCGGTGCCGCGGCGGCTCCACGCGCGCCTGGGGACCGTGCGCCGCGAGAGCGGCCTCTTCGTGTCCACGGACGACCCGACGGACGTGCCCCGGCCGGTGTTCTGGCGCGCCGCGGCGGACCGGTGGGCGCGGTTCCGGGACCGGCTCTTCGAGGACGACGACGAGCTCATCGTCGACGCGGACCACGACGACCGCGACGTCAACCGCGACTTCCGCCGGGGCCACGCGGCGGGCTGGAGCCTCGACAACGTGCGCGAGCGGCTCGGCTACGTGAACTGGGAGCGGCCGCGGCTCCACGCGGCCGCGCTCGTCTGCGGCGGCTTCGTCACGCGCTGCGTGGAAATCAAACAGTGGTTTGGGGGGTCCCCAGCAAACTTCAGAACTCTCTATCTCGGTCAAATCGAAGTCGATGCGGCTGATTTTTGGACGAATCGATTGCTCTCGTCGAGCTCTCGAAGCACAGCAGAAAGACTCGCACCAAGACCGTCGCATACGCGCACATTGAAGTCGGGTTGAAGATTTGATTTCCACACAGGTCATGCGGCTCCACCAGGAGTTCCAGGAGCTCTTCCTCGAGGAGACGGCGAATTTGCTCACGATCATCGTCGCGTCCGTGTCCGGCGAGGTCTTCGACGTCTTCCGGCGCGGCCGCGGCTCCGCGACGGAGGCGCGGCGCCGCGGCGCGTCCGTCATGGTCTTCTCGTTCCTCGTCGTCTTCGCGCTCGTCGTCTACGTGGCCCGCGCGTGCGTCTACCCCGTGCTCCGGCGCTCCTGCCGGCGCCTCGCGCGCGCGCTGCGGCCCGCGGCCGCCGTCGAGGCCGCCGCGGGCGACGGCGAGAGCGACGACGACGACGACGGCGCCGCGGACGCCTACTTCCGCCGCGCGGACCGCGAGGACGAGGACCTCTTCTCCGACGACAGCGACGTCGACCTCGTGCCGCGGCGCGACGACTACGACTCCGACGACGACGACCTCGCGGAGCAGCTGAGCGCGCTCGAGACGAGCGCGTTCCAGCAGAACATCCACGTCCGCTTCGACCGCGAGTCCTCGCTCGCGTCGCGGCCCGGCGACGGCGACGACGACGCCGGCGACGGCGCGGCGCCGGACGACGACGACGACGACGACGCCCCGGCCGCGGACGTCGCGCCCGCCGCGTCGACCGCGCGCCGCGTCGGCTTCGTGGACCAGGTCGAGGCCGACGCGGCGCTCCGCGAGCGCCGCACGGCGAACGCGCGGCGCTTCGACCCCGAGACCTAGGGCGCGCGGAGAACGTGCCCCGCTCCGCGGACCTAAGGAAAACGTGTCCCGCGTGACCTAAGGGGCCCCCCATCCCCTAAAATCCGAGCGCCTAGGACTCGCTCCGCGGACCGAAGGGTCCCATTCCGAGAATCCGAGAACGTGCCCCGCGTGGCCCGAGGGCCCCCGGTACCTTAAATCCGAGCGCTTAGGACCCGCCGCGCGCCGGCCGCCGCGCGTCGCGCGGCCCCTATGCGTCGTAGAAGATGCGGACGCGGCACTTCGCGATGAGCATGTCGCCGTCGAAGAACGAGGTCTCGATGACGACGTTGCCGTTGAGGACCTCCGCGGGCATCATCTCGTCCGCGGCCTCGATGACCTGCTGCCACGAGTTCGTGGAGCCGGGCATGACGAAGCCGAACTGGAAGTTCCAGGCCTCGAAGGGCTGGTCGTGGAGGAGGACGCGCTGCTCGAGGCGGAAGTGCTCCATCTTCTGCTCCGAGCTGAAGTTGACCTCGCGGCTCACCGCGCGGCACGACAGGATCGACCGCGGCACGCGCGCGAGGATCTCGCGCTCGTACATGTCGGCCCAGCCCTGCTTCTGCTCCCAGAGGATGCGCCCGCTGTAGGCGTCGCGCATGTTCATCCAGTTGATGGCGAAGCCGAAGCCCACGCGCTTCGCCTCGGGCGTCGCGGCGACGCCGATGCCGCCGGGCGGCTCCGTCTTCGCCAGGGCCGCGGGCGCGTCGGAGACCGTCTCCTTGTCGTCGGCGTCGTAGTCCTTGTACTGCTTCGCCCCCTTGGCGCCGAGGGCCGACCCCTTGTGCCCCGGCGCGCCCTCGTAGCGCTCGCCCTTGGCCTCCATCCCGCTGCGAGGGGCTGCCCTCGACCGTGGCCGCGATGCCTTAGCCTCATTGCCGTTCAATATCGTCTTTTGCACTTCTTCCAAATCTTCATGTGCGGGGCGAGACGCGTCACGCGAGCAGTGACGCGAGGCCCCACGCGCACGGTCACCGTTTCGAACGAGTAAGACCACATCAAGGTCACCGGCTACGAGATAGACGATGGCTTCATCGCGCCGACGAGAATGGGGGTCTCACAGTGCACCTTACGAAGGCCGTTGAGCGGCGCGCCAACCCCGTCCGGCCGCGGCCTAGACCCAGCTGTCCGAGCCGACGACGACGTAGTTGCCCTTGACGGACTTCTCGTCGATCTTCGCCTGGGCCTTGGCGCGCGCGACGGCCGACGAGCCCCACTTGAACTTCTGGAGGCCGTTGAAGGGCGAGTCGGGCTTCCGCTTGTACGTGAAGACGGTCCACGTGCCGCGCGTGTAGACGCGGTAGACCGGGCTCCCCTCGGCCGAGAAGTCCTGCATGTAGACGTCGAGGTCGCCCTTCCGCGCCGACGTCGGCATGCCCGCGGGCGACTGCTTCCCCTTGAGCTCCGCCTCGAACTCGGCGCTGAACTTGACCTCGCGGCCCAGGATGTAGCGCGACGGCCGCGTCGTGTCCGTCGCGCGCGGCTCCAGGGAGAGCACGTAGAGGCCCGTGTCGCCCAGCGCCTCGTCGTGGTGGACGCCGCCGGAGCCGAAGCGGTCGTACGCGAAGTCGTCGAGCTCGACGTCCTCGTGGTTCGCGAGGAGGTTCATCGCGTACTTCTCGGCGACGTTCCCGACGACCGTCTCCGCGATGCGGTCGAAGCTCTTGAAGAAGAAGCGGTCCCAGGGCGGCGCGCCGCCGCGCGGGCCCTTGACCGCGAAGCACTTGCGCCGCGGCACGCACTTGGCCTCCTTGAGCATCTGCGCGTACCGGGCGTTCCCTATGTACACGCGGCGGCCGGCGCGGATCTCCTGGAGGCAGTAGTCGACGACGGCGCGCGCGATCGCGCGCGCGCGCTCCAGGATCTCGCCCGGCGGCACCTTCTGCGTCCCGGCGGAGGCGCGGATCTCCGCCTCGAGGTCCGCCAAGGCGCGCGCGGCGTAGTACCCCGCGCCGGTCTTGAGCCACGCGGCCTGGACGCGCGCCGTGAGGTCCGCGACGTCGTCCTCGTCCGCGTCCTCGTCGTCGAGGAGCACCGCGAGCTCATCCGCGAGCGCCTTGTGCGTCGCGGTGGCGGCGCGGCGCCAGCGCCGCTGCTGCGCCGCGGGCGTGTCCTCCTCCGCGGCCTGGACGCGCGCCGTGAGGTCCGCGACGTCGTCCTCGTCCGCGTCCTCGTCGTCGAGGAGCACCGCGAGCTCATCCGCGAGCGCCTTGTGCGTCGCGGTGGCGGCGCGGCGCCAGCGCCGCTGCTGCGCCGCGGGCGTGTCCTCCTCCGCGGCCTGGACGCGCGCCGTGAGGTCCGCGACGTCGTCCTCGTCCGCGTCCTCGTCGTCGAGGAGCACCGCGAGCTCATCCGCGAGCGCCTTGTGCGTCGCGGTGGCGGCGCGGCGCCAGCGCCGCTGCTGCGCCGCGGGCGTGTCCTCCTCCGCGGCCTGGACGCGCGCCGTGAGGTCCGCGACGTCGTCCTCGTCCGCGTCCTCGTCGTCGAGGAGCACCGCGAGCTCATCCGCGAGCGCCTTGTGCGTCGCGGTGGCGGCGCGGCGCCGTTCGCGTTCGCGTTGAGCCGCCGCCGGCCGCGCCGAGGGCTTCAGAAACTCCTCCAGCGCGGCGATGCCCTGGTCGTAGGACGCGACGTGCCAGGGGTCCGTGCGGTCGCCGATCATCTCGTCCCCCGCCATGATCTTCGTGCGCTCGTCCTTGAGGAGCTCGACGGCGCACTCGACCCGCCGCCGCTCGTCGCGCTGGTCCTGCCAGCGCTCGCGCTTGGCCATGAGCTCCTCCTGGCCGTTGATGGCCGTCTCCAACAGGAAGACGTGGTCCGGGTCCGCGTCGCCGCAGAGCTCGTCCTCGAGGTACTCCTCGAGCTCGAGGAGCGTGCGCGCCGTCCTCGCCTCCGTCCAGCGCCGCTTCTGCGCCGCGGGCGTGTCCTCCTCCGCGGCGACGGCCTGCTTCTCGAGCCGCGCGGCCTCGTCGCGCCGCTTCCACGGCGCCAAACTCGCGTCGGCGGCGACCGCGCACGCGTCCGCGCGGAGGTCGATGACTTTCTGGCGCTTGGCGTCGTCGCGGGTTTTCTGCTCCGCCGCGTGCGTCTTCTCCTTCGCGGCGGCCGCCTGCGCCACGAGGTCGTCGACCTTCTGCTTCTTCGTCGTCGGCCGGAGCGTGTCGTCGGCGCGCGCGGCCTCGAGCTTCTTGTGGAGGTTGTTGCTCAGCGAGTTCTGCTCTTCGCGCTTGATCTGCCGCTTGCCGTTGTCGGTCGCCGCGTAGTAGTCGTACCAGTCGTCGTAGAGCTTCTTGAGTTTCTTGTCGCGGTGCGGCCCGGGCGCCGCGTCGGAGTTCTTGAAATCGTCGTGTTCGTCCTTGAGCCGCTTGCACTCCGCGGCCTCTTCCGCGCGCTTCGCCACCTTCCGGTCCACTTTACGCTGCTCCGCCGCGCTACGCTGAGGCATCAGACAGCAAAAACCGACGAGCGAGCGCGCACCAAGTTGCGATTCAAATGAAATGCATGCTCACACGATGGCCTCAACTTGCCTTCACTTGCAGGCAGTTTGAGGTCGACGGGGCAGCCTCTCCCGGGACATGGCCCTGCTCCGGAGCCTGGCGGTCGACGGGGCAGCCTCTCCCATGCTCCGGAGCCTGGCGGATGCCTCGAACGCGACGGCCGCGCTCCCGAACGCTACCTACTACGGTCCCGTGACCGACGCGGACCTTTCCCGCCCGGGGATCTTCGCCTGCTATGGGCTGGGCATCGTCGCCTGGCACCTGCTCATCTACGCCGTCGCGCGCTCCTATCCGCGGCAGCCGCGGCGCGCCGTGCCCGTCGCCTGCGCCGTCGTCGGCGTCTATCTCGTGTTGCTCTGGGACACGTTCGTGCACGAGCTCGGGCACTGCTTCTGGTTCAAGACGTTCGTCGGCGGCCGCCTCCGCTTCGTCCTGGGGTGGTGGGCGAATCCCGCGCTGCAGACGCGCGCGGTCGAGCTCCGGTTTCCCTATCTTCCCGTGGCGGGCGTCTCCGGCGTCGTGCTCGAGGAGCGCGAGCCCGCGCGCCTCGAGACGGCGACCATCGCCCTCGCGGGCAACGCGCACGCGTTTTTGCTGAACCAGCTCTACGTCACGGCGCTCCTGCTCCGCGCGGCCTCGACGAGGCCGTCGCCGGCGGCCGCGCGGCTCTGGCTGGGCCACGTTCGTCGGCCCTTCGCCGTGGCCGAGGCCGTCGCCGCGCGGCGCGGCGCGACCGCGGGACGCTGCGTCGCCTGGGCGTCGTTCGTCTCTGCCGTCTTCTACGTGCACCAGGCGTTCTACTTTTGCCTGCCCAACGACATGTTCACCATCGTGCCCACGGCGCTGATCCATCTCCGGAAGTCGCTGCGCGAGGGCGCGCTGCCGTTTCCGCCGGCCGTCGACGGCACGCACGTGTGGATCGCGGCCGGCGCGCCCGTCGAGCTCGTGCTCGCCGTGTCCTGCGTCCACTACGTCGTCGAGTGGAGCATCCGATTCCGGCTCATCCGAGCTCTCCGGAGGGCGCTCGGCGCCATCGCCGCCCCGGACCCCACCGACTACGCGCGCGTCGACGCGGATTCCCCCGAAGACGCGCGGGATTTGGAGCTCGTCTAAGCGACTTGTGCCGGAGAATTCAAGTTGGCTCTTGCGAGGCCCACTAGACTCACTGAGCTAGAGGGAATTTTACCCCGGCCGAAGCATTTTCATAAATCGTAGCCGAGTCGTAGGACCCTACACGTCAAAGCCGCCGCCGCCGCCGTCGTCAACGCAACACCATGCGCGTCGTCCTCCTTTCGCTCATCGCGCTCGTGGCTTCAGCGGCTGCAGTGGCGCAGCTCGTCGACGCGCGGTCCTTCAGCCCGACCGCAGAGCAGCAGGCGCCGCCGGACTCGTCCCTCGGCTCCGGCGCTGGGCCCGGACCCGCTCCGTACGCCTCCTACCTCCGGGGCGCCGCGCCCGTCGCTGCACCGCCGCCCGTCGTGCCCGAGTGGATCGTCGCCGCGGAGCCCACGGACCTGGACGTCCTGGTGATGGCGCTCGAGACGGAGATGGCCGCGACGCAGGACCTCGCGCGCGCGCTCAAGCAGGTCGCGTGGACGCAGGACGTCGTCATCTCCTTCTGCCAGGTCGTGCGCGATTGCGTCGTCATCACGCTCCTCGTGCTCATCCTCGTGCTCCTCCACGTCGACCAGCTCGACCACCGCGCCCAGTGAGCGGACCGCGAAATGAGACAAGCAGCCCTGGCCGCGGCTCTCCCTACGCCCCTCCTCGCCGTTCTCCCTCCCGTCGGTTCTTCCCTGCGCCGCGGCAGTAAGACAAGCCCTAGCACGTGGTAAGATAGCGGATCACGAAGCGGGTCCCGGGGTCGAGCAGCACGAAGGTGAGGTTGCGCCACACGAGCGCCGGGTCCCGCCAGGCCCACCACTTCGTCCCCGGCGGCGCGCGCGCGCGCTTGAGCTCGTCCTCGGCCGCGTAGCGGTCCTTCACGTTCGCGGCCGCGAGGCCCGCGAGCTCGAGCGCCGCCTCCCGCCGGGGCCCCGGCGGCGGCACGAAGGGCGACGGCACGCGCGCGTCGCAGCGCGGGAAGTCCGGGTGGTCGTGGGCGGGGGAGCAGATTCGCCGGTACTCGGTCAACGACACCGTCGAGTTCGGCCGCCGCGCGTCCAGCACGACGGGCGGCCCGCCGTCGAGGGCCGCGGCGACGCGGCCCATGGTCGGGTCCCAGGACGCGAGGAACGCGACGCCGTAGACGGCCGTCGCCTCCACCGCGAAGGTGATCGCGGCGCCCGCGGCGCGCGCGGCCCAGCCGCGCTTGCCCGGCGCGTCGTCCGCAACCCTCCAGCCGTCGCGCGCGACGCCGGCGGCCTCGCCCCCGGCGCGCAGCGCCGCGGCGTCGTAGGCGCTCCGCGGCCGCGTGCAGACGACGTCCGCGGCGGCGAAGGTCCCCGCCGGCTCGCGCGCGGGCGCCGGGCCGGCGTCGTCGTCCGCCGCGAGGGCGCGCCAGTTCTGCGCGAGCCAGTCGGCGACGAGCTGGTGGAAGGCCCAATTCGGGTGGCGCTCCGGAATGACGCGGCCCCGGACGGCGACCTCGGGCCAGCGCGCGGGGCGCCGCGCGCCCGGCCAGGACAGCTCCCACGAGAGCGCGGGCACGGCGAGCGCGTCGCAGGCCGCGGCGTGCGGCGCGTAGGCGAGGGCCCCCGCGGGCAGCGCGAGCTCGAGGTCGACGACGGCCGCGCGCGCGAGGCGGAGGAGGCGGAGCAAGATCTCGAAGCCCGCCGCGCCCGCGTCGCGCCGCGCCTGGTCGTTGTCGACGTAGTTGACGAAGAAGACGTCGACGCGCCGACCCGAGAGCGCGGACGAGAGCCGACCGACGACGGACGCGCTCGTCGAGCCGCCGATGGCCCAGTTCTCGACCTCGTGGGCCGCGCCGGGGTACGCGGCGCGAAGCCACGCGCGAAACCGCCGCGGGAACGCGCACGCGCGGTTGTCCAGGTTGTAGCCGAAGCCCGCGAAGTCGGGCTCGGCCTCGCACCGGGAGCGCGTCGAGGCGTTCATGTGGCCCGCGGTCATGGAGCCGCCGAGGACGACGACGCGGAGCGCCTCGCCGCGGCGCGCCCGCGCCGCGGCGCGCCGGAAGGGCCCGAGGTCCGCGGTTTCCCGGTTCGCGAGCGCGGAGCAGTTCGTCGACCGCGCGCCGAGCGGCCGCAGGGGGCCGCGGCGCCGCGCAAAGCTCGGCAGCGCCGCGTCCGGCGCGCGCTCGAACGCGCCGGCCCAGGCGTCGGGCAGCGGCACCGCGTCGCAGCTCCGCGGCAGCCGCTGCGCGCGCGCGAGCGGCCGCCACCACTCGTCGGCGGCGGCGCGCGCGAGGAGCAGCGCGCAGCGCACCGCGCCACGCGTCATGAATGCGTCGCCGCGCCGTCCAGCGCGGATGCTTACATCATGGGCACCGTGCTGCCCCTCGGCACTGCGACAACTTCCCCTTCAACCCACCTTAGCCGACGTCGTCGTGGGACGTGTCGCGGTGCTGCTGCGTGTAGTGCATCTCGGGCTGGTGGAGGACGTGGCCCGTGCCCCGGTCCGGGACGTAGTTCGGGTCGTTGAGGATGGCGAGCTTGGCCTTGGCGCGCTCCTTCTCGAGGAGCTTCCGGTTGTACTCGACCATGTTGTGCTCGCAGATGACGTCGAGGAGGTGCTCGTCGAGCCCCCGGTGGTGGCCGCGCTGGTTCGCCCGGTGGACGTGGCGCCGGATGACGGGGGGCAGCCGGCGCTCCTTCTTGCCGCCGACGCCGCGCGGCGGCCCCGAGAGCGTGCCGTGGCTCCGCGTCGACGACGCGGACGCGGACGAGGCCGCGGAGCCGTAGGACCCGATGGACGGCGCCAGGGAGCCGACGGAGGCGGCGACGGAGCCGACGTCGTCGTCGGCCGGCGCGCGCCGCGCGCGCCGCGCGGCCCGCCGCGCGGCGTCCGCGTCCCGCTCCGCGGCCTTCTTCGCGTCCCGCTTCTCGTCGAGGAGGCCGACGCCCCGCGCCCTCGCCGCCGCGCGCATGTCCCGCAGGGCCCGGTCGAGGTCGCGCTTCGCGGCGTCGACGGCCGCGCCGTCGCCGTCGCGCCACCGCGCCGTGAGCACCATCTCGCGCCGCTTCTCCTGCGCGTCCTCGTCGTCCTCGTCGCTGTCCCACCACTCCGACGACTCGTCGCCGTCGTTCTTCTCCGCGGGCTCGCCCTCGCCGTCGAGGTCGTCGGCCATCTGGACCATGTCGCGCGCGCCGAGGTTGCCCGTCGCGAGCATCGTCGCCATCGACGCGCGCCGGTTCGTGTCGTTGTCGATCTGCGCCTGGACGTCGACCTCCTCGTGGTTCGCGCGCGCGGCGGCCGCCGCCGGGTCCTGGATGGCCGAGATCACGGAGATGATCTCGTCCTCCGTCGGGTAGCCCATGTTCGCGCCCGCGTACTTGTTCGCGCCCTTCGACGTCGCGTGGCCGCGCTGGAGCAGCTCGAGGAACGCGACCTTGTCGAGGCTCACGATCGTCGAGTCGACGAGGGCCGCGACCGTCGCGGCGCGCGTCGTGTTCTCCAAGATGCCCTTCTCCCCGAAGTAGGACCCGGAGTCGAGCTCGAGGAGGCGCACGTTGACGGTCTCCGTGACCTTCTTCGTGACCCAGGACCGCTTCCCGCTGGGCCAGCGGTTCGTCCGCTTCACGAAGACGTCCTTGGACACGACGCAGCGGCCGTCGAGGATGAAGTAGACGTTGTCCGGGAGGTCGCCCTGGCGCACGACGACGGTGCCGGCCTTGAAGTAGTTCCACTGGAGCATGTCGCAGAGCCGGTCGAGGCGGCTCCGGCTCCAGTGGCGGAAGAGCGGGATGCGCTTCATGCACTTGAAGGCCTTGCGGTGCTCCGACTTCTGGTAGTCCTTCATGATCTGGTCGTAGTCGGCCTTGTGCAACACCAAAAGCTCCGCCAGATCCGACGAGCAGACGATCGTCGCGTTCCGCGGCGGCGCGCCGGGCCCGAGCGACGCCTCGCCGAACGACCTGCGTGGAATTCAAATCTTCAACCCGACTTCAATTTGCGCATATGCGACAGTTTTGACGCAACATCTTCAGCCATGCTTCGAGAACTCGACGAGAGCAATCGATGCGTCCAAAAATCAGCCGAATCGACTTCGATTTGACAGAGAATTCTGAAGTTTGGTCAGGACCACCCAAACCAGTGGTTGAATTCCACACAGCGAACGACGAGCCCGCCTTGAGCGTCGCGAGCTTGCCCGGCGAGCTGTGCTTGAAGACCTCGGCCGTGCCCGATACTAGAATGAAGAACGTGAGGCCCCGCTCGCCCTCCTCGACGATCTTCTCGTCGCGGCTGCAGCTGTGGAACCGCGCCGCGCGCGACACCTGCGACACGCGCGCCTCGCCGATGCGCTGCGCCGTGGGCCAGACCTGCACGAGGAAGCGGTCGATGAGCTGGATGTGCTTGTCCGTGCGGATGATGGGCTGGGCCGTGAGCGCCTCCCGGAGCCGCTCCTCCTTAATAATTTGGTCGACGCGGCCGTAGTCGACGTGGCGCGAGATCCAACCGGGCAGCACGTCCCGCGCGTCGTAGGCCATGGTCACGGGCGCGTTGACCTCGGCGATGTCGAAGGGCACCGTGCCCTCGGTGGTGTGGAGCATGGCCTTCTTCATGTCGACGGACTCGTAGCGGTGGCTGAACGTCGTCGACTCGCGGCGCTTGCCGTCGCGCTGCGACCGGAGCGCCGGGTCCGCGAAGTCGCGCGTCGCGCGCAGGTCCTCGACGGGCGGCGACGGCGGCGGCGCGAAGGCGCCGCCGAGCTCGCGCACGGCGTCGCCCGCGCGGTCGGCCGCGTCGCCGCGCTCGAGGCGCCGCGCGTTCCGCGCGGCGGCGCTGTCGTCGACGAGGCGCCGGCTCCCGTCCGCGTCGCGGACGAGCTTCGTGCGCCGGCGCTCGGCGGCCTTGGTCTCGTCGACCTTGACGAGGAACCGCGCGCCGCCCGAGCCCCGCGCGATGGTCGTGCGCATCGCCGGCTTGCCCGTCGGCTCGGGGTTCGGGTCCCGGGCTTCGGGCGCGTCCTCGAACTCGAGGCCCTTGTTCACCTTCTCGAAGCGCGTCTCCCGGCGCCGGCTGTCGGGCTTCTCCATGGGCACCATGGCGTTCTTGATGCGCACGGGGATGATGAGCGCGTTGGCCATGGCCGTGAAGCGCTGCTCCCGCACGTCCTTCTGCGAGTCCTGCTTGGCGAGGTGGCGCTTCATGCCGCCGGGGCTCCGGTCCATCTGCGGCCCGAGGTGGCGCTTCACGCCGCCGGGGCTCCGGTCCATCATCGGCTATGGGCAGCCCTGGCGGGCCTCTCCCATGCCCGAGAGCGCGCTGCGAGTGCAATATGAGTTCAATGCGGAGGCATCATCAACCCGAGGCATTCGAGCCCTCGGCATGGCAAGCCCTGCCGAGTACACTAGCGCCCAACTCATGCAAAGCGAGACCGTGCAGTGAGCCATGCCACCCAAGAACAAGCGCCCGAAGCTCCAAGGCAGCGCCGCCGCGTCCTGCGAGTCGGCCGAGAGCATCCGCCGCGCGGCCCTCCGCGAGCTGCTGGCCTGGGAGCCCGTGCGCGGCGACGTCGACGAGGCCGAGCGGCCGGCGCCGGTGCTGGCGTCGGCGGCGGGCTACGTGTCCGCCTGGGTCGGGACGTGGCTGCGGGAGACGCGCTGCGAGGTCGGCGCGGAGCTTGCGGACGCGCCGCGAGCGAAGCAGAACGTCGGCGTCGGCGTCGCGGGCCGCGGCCGCGAGGGCGACCGGGGCCCGCTCGTCGCCGTGGTCGTCAACGGGTTCCCCGATGGCAAGGAGAACGACCTGCTGGCCATCACCTACAAAGGCGTCGAGCGCCTCTGCCTGCTCACGAGCGGCCACCGGCGCGGCGACAACTGCTGCCAGGCGACGATGAGCCGCTGCGGCTGCCGCGCGCTCCTCGGCGGCGAGGACCACGTCCGCGAGGCGACCTGCGCCGTCGTGCGCTGCCTGACGCCGGCCCTCCGCGAGCTCGACGGCATCGCGAAATTCGGCGAGCTGCCCGAGCCCCTCCGACTCGCGCTGCTGCCCGACCGCGACGACGCGGCGCCGCTGCTCCTCCCCGGCGACCCACAGGGCTCCCGGCCGCCGGCGCGCGACGACGCCGCGGCGTCCGCGGCCTGTGGCGCGTTCCTCGACAAAGCCTGCGGGGGCCGCGGCTTCTCGGAGCGGGCGCGCGCGGGCGCGAACGCGTCGCAGCTCGGCGCCGTCGTCGCGGCGCTCGGCGGCTTCGCGGGCGACGAGGGCGCCGTGTCGCTGATCCAGGGCCCGCCGGGCACGGGCAAGACGACGACGCTGGTCCTGCTGGTGAACGCGCTCCACCTGAGCCACTTCCGGGCCTACTACGAGGGCGTGCGGTCGGCGGCGCGCGTCGACGTCGAAGACGCCGTCGTCGCCGGCGGCCCCGCGCCGCTCGCGTCGCTCCACTGGGTCGAGCGCCTGGAGGCCCTGCGGCCGCGCATCCTCGTCGCCGCGCCGTCGAACGTCGCCGTGGACAACGTCGTCGAGAAGATCGTCGAAAAGCAGTTCTCCGGCATGGCGGGCGAGCGCTACCGGCCGGACGTCGTCCGCGTCGGCGCGCCGCCCAAGTCCCGGGACCGGCCGGGCGTCGCGACGCTCGACGCGCGCGTCGACGACGTTTTACGGCGCGACGTCCGCGAGCTCGAGGATTTGCGGAAGCGGGCCGCGCGCGACCGCGACCGCGCGCTCCGGTCCGCCGAGGCCGCGCGCGCGCGGCTCCGGCTCTTCGCCGCCGCGCCGCCGCAGCTGCCCCGGGACTGGGAGGCGCGCGTCTTCCCGCCGCCGCCGGACCCCAAGGCCCTGGGCGGCGGGCCGCTGCCGGACGTGAACCCGCAGCCGCCGTACCTCTACTACGTCGACCACGCGCACCAGCGCACGTCGAAGAGCGCGCCCCTCCTCGGCGCGCTCGACGCGGCCTTCGACCTCGCCCGGGTCTCGCCGGAGATGGACTGCTGCCTCACGTGGCTCCACGCGGCGCTCGAGGCCGGCGTCCGCGCGAAGTTCGACGGCGAGTGCTACCGCTGCGCGCTCGCGTGCAAGCGGCCCGACGACCGCGGCTCCGTGGCGCCCGTCGACGCCGCGCGGCGCCAGCTTGCGGCGCGCGTGCTCCACGGCGCGGAGATCGTCTGCGCGACGCTCCACGGCGCGGGGCACCGGAGCCTGGACGACGCGAAGCGGCCCTTCCGCGCGGTCGTCGTCGACGAGGCGGGCAACGCGCGCGAGGCGGCGACGCTCTGCGCGCTGGCGCGTTGCGCGGGCGCGCCGGACGCCAAGGTCGTCCTCGTCGGCGACCACCGGCAGCTCGCGGCGACGCGGAAGGCGCGCGGCGAGGCCTGGGCCGGCGCGTCGCTCTTCGAGCGCCTCATGCCGTCGACGAATTCGCACCTGCTGGACACGCAGTACCGCATGCACTACGCCATCAGCCGCTACGCGTCCCTCGCGAGCTACGGCGGCCGGCTCCGCGACGGCCGGCCGCGCGGCGACTTCGACGAGAAGCGGTCCGGCCCGCTCGGCGCCGTCGACGCGCTCGCGCCCCTGACGTTCCTGAACCTGGCGACGTCCGCGGAGGCGCGGGGCGCGGCGTCGCGGTCCAACGAGCAGGAGGCGCGGCTCGCGCGCAACGTTTACGACTTGCTCCGGTCGGCGGCGCGCGGCGACGTCGGCGTCATCAGCTTCTACCGCGACCAGCTCCGGGTGCTGCGGCGGGCCTTCGACGGCGCGGCGGGCGACCCGGAGATCAACACCGTCGACGCCTTCCAGGGCCGCGAGAAGGACTTCATCCTGCTGTCGTGCGTCCGCGCGGACGGCGCCGGCGTCGGCTTCCTCCGGGACGCGCGGCGGCTCAACGTCGCGCTGACGCGCGCGAAGCACGGCGTCGTCGTCATCGGGTCGGAGGCGACGCTCCGCAGCGACGCGCGCTGGCGGTTCCTGCTCGACTACGCGCGGGACCGGGGGTCCGTCGTCGACGTGCCGGACGCGGGCGCGGACCTCCGGCGTTTGCGGCGGCGGCCGGGCCGGTCCCGGAGCCGGTCGCCGCCGCCGCCGCCGCGGTCGCGGTCCCAGTCGCCGCCGCCGCCGGAGCCGGAGCCCGGGGCCCGGCCCGCGGCGCCCGCGGAGGAGGGCGAGCTGTACGACCTCCTTTAAGCCCGAAGACCTCGCTTCGCGCGGGGCGCGGACCGGCTTTACGAACCGGGGCGCGCAGTTTTAAGTTGTCTCTCCTCGCCCGACCCCCTCCGAGTGCGTCGCCCGATGCGACTCGACAGCGCGTGCACGGCCTGCCCGAGCGGCTTCACCTGCGACGGCGCCGCGGCGACCGTGTGCGACTCGACCAAGTACGCCAAGGACAAGGAATCGAAAGGAGGGAAGGGCTAAGGTAGTGGAGCGAGGAGCGAGAGCACGATCGGGAGGATCGGCCTAGTGCCCCATGCCACTCGCGTTCGCGTCGACGCTTCGAGCGCGCGTAGGGAGACGGGGACAACGACGCGCTCATCGTCGTCGAGGGCACCGCCAACCGCCTCTACGTCAGCGTCTCCCGCGTCCATCATCCGGGATCCCCATCCATCGTCGCCTCGTCCATCCGGGATCCTGATCCGTCGTCGCCTCGTCCGCGCGCGCGCGGCCCGACGCTCGCGCCGACGCTTTGCGCGCGCGTAGGGCGGCGACGACAAGGACACGCTCACCGTCGAGTCCGGCGACAAGAACGACCTCCACGTCAGCGTCTCCCGCGTCCATCCGGGATCCCCACCCGTCGTCGCCTCGTCCGCGCGCGCGCGGCCCGACGCTCGCGTCGACGCTTCGCGCGCGCGTAGGGAGACAAGGGCGACGACACGCTCACCGTCGAGTCCGGCGACAGCAACGCCCTCCACGTCAGCGTCTCCCGCGTCCATCCGGGATCCCCGTCAGTCGTCGCCTCGTCCGCGCGCGCGCGGCCCGACGCTCGCGTCGACGCTTCGCGCACGCGTAGGGAGGCGAGAACAACGACAAGCTCACCATCGAGTCCGGCTCCAACAACCGCCTCTACGTCAGCGTCTCCCGCGTCCATACGAAGATCCCCATCCTCGTTGCCTCGTCCGCCTGCGCGTGCGCGGCCCGACGCTCGCGCCGACGCTTGGTGCACGCGTAGGGCGGCGACAACAACGACAAGCTCACCATCGAGTCCGGCTCCAACAATCTCCTCTACGTCAGCGTCTCCCGCGTCCATTCCGAAAACCATCGCCGCGTTTTTCGACATGTTCTTCGTAGGGCGGCGAAGGCACGGACACCTTCTCCCGGCCGGGCGGGAACACGGAAGACACCAAGGGTTCCAAGGACGGCAAAGGCAACGAGGTCAAAGACTCCTCCACGCCGCTCATCGTCGGCCTCTGCGTCGGCGCGGCCGTCCTCGTCCTCGTCCTCGCCGTCGTCGTCCGCAAGCTCCGCGGCCGCGCCGCGGAGGAGACGTCGGCGCCGCAGCTCGACGCGGAGGTCCAGGTGGAGGCCTAAGAGGGCGCGATGAGCCGCGCCTCGAAGCGATGAGAGGTGACGGCCACGCCCCCAAGTCGTCCCGACCCCGCGTCCGGACCATGGATGCCGCCGCGAGCTTCCTACACCTGACGCCGACGGATCCAACCCCCCGCCCGTGCGCGCGCGCGAGCCCCCGCGACCGACGTCGCGACGAGTCGGCCCGCCAGTGTTCGCGCGCGCGTTCCCCCAAGCATAACGGGCGAACGTCAAATTGGATAGACAGCGACCGCACGAAGTTGATGGGCACGTCGTCGGGCCACGCGAGCTCGTGCCGCTGGAGCTCGTCAGGACCTCGCGCTCGAGGAAGTGGCAGTCGCAGGCCGGCAGATTACTTTTGCCTTGACGCGTCTCTAAACGTAGGGGGCCCGGGAGGAACCGCGGGAGTAGGAGGTTTGGGGACTCGGACTCGACCTCAGGCTCAGCCGGAGCCGGCCTGGCGCCTCGCCACGAGGCGGCCGAGGGAGAGCTCTAGAGCTTGGGTTGGGTCGTCCAGTGGTCCTCGATCTTGCAGATTACTTTTGCCACAAAAAAAGAGCGGTCCCGGCGATTTTCAAGATGCCGCCGAAGAAGTCCAGATGCACCTGGGCCGCCTGGTTCGCGGCCTGCGTGATTTCCTACGCCCTCGGGGCGTTTAACGGGAGCCATTGGGCGCTCTCCGGCGAGCCGTCGATTTTTCGCGCGGCGCCGGGGAAGGCCCCCGACGCGCTCGCGGCGGCGGAGCTCGCGGTGAAGAACGCCAACGCCGCGCTCGCCGCGGCGCGCGAGGACGTCGACCGCTCCCGCGCCGCCGCGGCCGCCGCGCGCGGGGCCGCGACGCGCTGCGAGGCCGCGGCCGCCGCGCCGCCGCCGCCCGCGCGAAAGCTCCCGCTCGCGCGCTTCGAGCGCGACTGCGAGGCCAAGTGGGGGTCCGGGCTCGTCGAGAGCTACCGGTCGTCGGCGGCGGCCTATTGCGACGGCGGCGGCTCGTCGCTCGTGTGCTACGCCAGCCGCCTCGAGCACAACGGCAAGCTCGGCCACTTTTGCGTCGGAAAGAATTTGGTCGTCGACTTCGCCAAGGTCGCGGGCGGCACGATGCTCGACGAAGCCCGGCGGAAACGCGCGCTACCACGCCTTCGGGGCCGGCGCGCTCTCGGGGACGTGCGAGAAAACGGCGGCCTGGGACGCGGCCGCGTTCATGCCGCACGCGGCCCCGCTCCTGCGGGGCATGGCCTTCGAAGCGGACGCCGCCGGCGCGCGCGACGAGGCGGGGACGACCTATTTGATGGCGCGCGACGAGGACGGCGAGAACATGTTCCACTCGGCCGCGGACTTTTTGAACGCGTACCTCGTGTCCCGCGTCCTGGGCTCGGACCGGTCCGACTGGGTCACCGTGCTCTTCGACCGCATGCCCGACTTTGCGTACACGTCGCTGATCGAGAAGACGTTCAGCCGCCGGGGCCCGCCGAGGCGCGCCGCGGACTACGGGGGACGCGTCCGCTTCGAGACGCTCGTCTTCCACCTCGAGTCGCCCGCGGGCATCGTCCGGCGTCCCGCGGCCGCGACGACCTTCGAGAGATGTCTGAAGCATCGCGCATTCGGTAGGCATCGTCGCGCCCCACTTCGTGCCCAAGGGCATCATGACGTGCCGGCGGTCGAGCCTCTGGCTCGGCTACCGGAACGCGGTGCTGGACGGCTTCGGGCTGCTGGACGCGGCGCCGCCGAAGGCGCCCCACGTCGTGCTGAGCGTCCGGCGGCGCACGGCCGCGAAGAACGTGGGCCGCGTCTTCGCCGACGAGGCGGCGCTCGCGGGCGTGCTCGCCGAGGGGAACGCGATGACGTCCGAGGTCGTCGACCTCGGCAGTTTGAGCTTCGAGGACCAGATCCGGAAGATGCGGTCGACGAACGTCTCGTGGGCGCCCACGGCGCGGGCCTCATGCACGTGCTCTTCCTCGCGGACGAGGCGGTGCTTTTAGAGATCCACCCGTCCTACCGGCTCGACCGCCACTTCCGGCTCGCGGCGCGCATGGTCGGCGCGCTCTACCTGCCGATGCGGTCCACGGGCCAGGTGTCCTGCAAGGGCACGTCCGACGCCATCCCCGTCGACGCGAACGAGTTCCGCGCCGCCCTCGACGGCGCGGTGCGCGCCGCGCGGTCCTTCGACGACGGCGTCTCCGAGTGCGGCCTGACCTGCGACCCGCGGATCCTGGCGTTGGACGAGTCGAACGCGGGCCACCTGCCGCCGGGCGCGAAGGGCCTGTCGACGAAGTTCCCCTGCTGACACATGGCTCTCCGCGGCGCGAACCGCGCTGGGACCTTTGCCGGCGGCCTCCACGGGCTCTAGGTCGAGCGGCGTTTGCCATATCCCGCCGGCCGGCGGGATGTGCTTAAAAAAGTGCTTGACATTACGCGGCCGCGAGCCACGCGGCGATGCGCTCGAGGATCGCCGCGTCGCCGTAGGATTCCGGCAGCCGGCTCTCGACCTTCGGCAGCGACCGCTGGAGCTCGACGGCGCGCGCGACGGCGCCGGGGAACGCGTCGAGCGTCGTCGAGACGACCCAGGGCGCGCCGACGGCGTCGGCGAAGTCGTGCTGCGTCCTCCAGGGCAGGCGCGGGTTCACCCACTTCTCGACGCGCGGCTTCGCGTACTTGACCTGGACGACGGCGCAGCCGTGCTCGAGCGCGTCGAGCGCGTTGGGCCCGAGGACGGGGTCGCCGAGGCCGAGGACGACGGACGCCTCGGCGAGGAGCGCGGCGTAGGCGTCCGGCGCGAGCAGGCCGCGGTTCGCGACGCCCGCGGGCGCCGAGAAGCCCTTCCCCGACGCGTCGACGGTCGCGACGACGGCCTCGACGCCGGGCAGCTTCGCGACGCGCTCGAGCATGGACCGCACGGCGGGCGTGAAGTACTTGGGCTCCTTGCCGGCGACGAGGACGACGGGCCGCTTCCTCGCCGGCGGGCGCCGCCGGAAGGCCGCGTCCTCGGACCGGAAGCCGACCCACGTGTTGCCGCAGGGGTACGGGTACGGCGTGAGGTAGTGCGCCGGCGTCGTGCCCTTGCGCGCCTGCGCGGCCGGCGTGCCCCAGAAGTCGACGTCGTAGCGCGTCCCGTGCCGCGCGACGCGGTCGACGAGCTTCGCGTCCGTGTACCTGGGGGAGGCGCGGGTTCGGCGGAGCGAACGGCGGGGGGGCGCGGGCCGCGCGCTGGTCGCTGACGACGACGACCTTCCGCCCGGGCGTCGGCCGGTACGCGTCGGCCTCCCGCGCGTCGCCGACGACCGCCGTCGCCCCGCCGAGGGCTTTCGCGGCCCAGAGCAGCGCCTCGAAGATCTTGAACTCGCCGAACGTGTTCCCGTGGTCGTAGAGCTTCGCCTTGACGACGACGAGGTCCACGGGCTCCGCCGGCCTCGCGGGCGCGCGCGGCGGCGGCGGCGGGATCGCGGCGGCGGGCGGCGGCGGCGGTGGCCTCGCGGGCGCGCGCGGCGGCGGCGGCGGGATCGCGGCGGCGGGCGGCGGCGGCAGTGGCCGGCGCGGGCGCGCGCGGCGGCGGCGGCGGCGGCGCGGCGGCCGGCGGCGGCCTCGCGCGCGGCGGCGGCTCCGCGGCGGCCGCGGCCGCGGCGGCGGCGCGCTGCCGCGGGAGCGCGTCCAGCGTGCGCAGCAGCGCGTCCGACAGCTCCTCGGAGATCTTGACGCCGGCGCGGAGGTCCGCGACGCGCGCCTCGAGCTCCGCCGACGCGTCGTGGCGCTGCGGCGTCGCGAGGAGCTGGTTGAGGAACATGCAGCATGTGATGGTGCCGACGACTGTGAGCGCGGTGCGGAGCTGCATGGTGCCTGCGCAATTTCAGCTTCGCATCGTGCTACATCGTCGTTTGGGCTCGAGACATCATCACCGCCGGCGGCACCAAGGTCATCACCGCGGGCCCACCAAAGCTTGCATGCAATTGCAAGGTCTTGTGGAGATTTGGATCTTCTGTCCGGACAGAAACCGGTCTGCGATCTTGGCATTGAACAATCGTGAGGCCGGCGACAACCAGCGGTATCCGGTCGGGGTGCTCGGCGACACACCCCTGGCGACGTCCAAAAGCTGCCTGTCTATCCCGCTTAATCCACCAGCATGATCGCGCGGCCCCAACTTCTCCTGTTGGCGCTCGTCGCACACACGAAAAGCTTCACCCTCGCCCCGCCGGCCCGACATACCACCCAGCTCCACGCGGCGGCCGTCAAGCAGCGCACGGCCCTGCCCGCGACGCTCCCCGAGGGCCTCTTCGACGCGCCGAAGCTCACGGCGACGGAGCAGCTGCGCCTCGGCCGCGACGGCGAGCTCCGGCGGACGAACCGGCGCGGCCGCGGCGGCGAGTGCCTCCAGGTCGTCGAGACGGCGCTGTCGCCGGAGCAGTGCTGGAAGCAGATCCGCGACGTCGCCGAGTGGTCCACGCTCATGCGCGGCGTCAAGAGCAGCCGCGCCGCGGCGCCGCGCGCCGACGGCGTCGTCCGCGCGAATTTTGCCGTCACGAAGCTGCGCCTGCCCTGCGCGCTGCTCCTCAAGGAGGACCGCTCCGGCGCCGGCGGCCACGTCCTCGACTTCACGCTCGACCCGGAGAGCCCGCGCGTCGCGGTGCAGCGGTGCTCGGGCCGCTGGACCGTCGAGCGCGTCGCCGGCGGCCGCACGCGCGTGTCGCTCTGCGCCGAGATCAAGGCGACGCGCCTCGTGCCGGGCCAGGTCGTCGACTACGTCGCGACGCGGGCGTTGGACCGCGCGGTCGCGTGGATCCCGCGCGCGCGGTCGTCGCGATGAGGGCGGCCTATAGCTCGTCTTCTATGTTGCTCTCCCGGCGGGTAACGCGCACGTTGCCTCGACCGCTGGGCCATCGACCCGGGCTGCGCGGCGCCCGGCCGGCGCGCGCAGCTGGTCGTCGCGACGTCCCGCCGCGAGTCTATGTTGAAGAGGCGTTTGAAGTCCAGAGCTCGGCGCCGACGCGACCGTGTGGGACGCGCCGCGCTCCATCGCGAGCGGCGCGCCGCGGCTGCCCTTCGACGTCGGCTGCCCTGGACGCGACGCCGCCGAAGAGCTTCGCGCTCCTGAGGAGCGACGCCTGGCAGCCCGACACGAAGTACTTGGCGTCGCGGGCCAGTCGCTGTCCAACAACCGGCCGTCGCGGAGAGCTGCCAGGTGCGCGTCGACCCATCAAACATGGTCGACTGGTCGGTCTTCGGCCGGCACGAGGCCTACGGGAACGGCTTGAAGCGCGCGAAGCTGCGCGGCTGGATCTACGGCGTCGTCGCCGTCGCGGGCGCGCTGGCTTTGGCGTCGCGCGACCTGGGCCCGTCGCGGCAGCCCATGGCGTGCGCGACGCTGGTCGTCTACTGGTGGGGCGCCGTGCTCCACCTCGTGCCCTTCACGTCCGGCGAGGGCTACTGCGCCGCGCTCGCCGTCGACTTTTGCGTCATCACGAGCGTCTACACGGCGCACGTCGCGGTCTACTGCGGCCCGTCGCCGACGACGGCGCTGTCCCTGAGCATGAGCGCCGTGCTCGTGGCGTCCATGGCGTCGGCGGTCTTCGCGGGCCGCGACATCCAGTACCGGCGCGCGGAGCGCCACGTGCGGTCGGCGTTCGGCGTCGCGCACACGCTCCTGCTCTCCGCGGTGGAGTGGAGCCGCTGCGACGAGCCCTGGCTCGGCGCGACCGTCGTCGTCCTCAAGCTCTTCGCCTTTTGCTACTTTTTCTTCGGCGGCCGCATCGACGCGCCGACGCACTGGACGTTCGCGACGGTGCCGGGCTACTGGGACGTCCACGACAACTTCCACGTCATCGTCCTCGTCGTCCACGCCTTCCAGGTCCTCGCCGTGGGGCGCCAGGCGCCGCCCCACGCCTACGACCACCTCTGCGTCGCGGGCGCCCGGCGCGTCTGGCAGTGACGGCGCCTCGCGCGCGCCGGCCTAACGACGTTTAATCACTCGTGCTGGGTGGTCGTGGGCGCTTTCCCTTGCTTGCCGACGCCGTCGTGGGTCAGCGCGCGTTCAGCGGTGGAGCTGTATTTCGTTCAAAATTGCCTCGGCGACGTCGCTGTTTCAGCGAGCGGGCGCCCGCGGGCTGGGTCATCATCTCGTTTCATACAAACAGTTTGTCGCGCGCCGCCAAGGCCGTGAATTCGCCGGGCCCGAGCGACGAAGAGATGTTTTTCGAACGCATCGCGAGCGAAGCGGCCAACAACGACCGGCTCGAACTGAGTGACCTCTCCTCCGACGAGGCCATCGAGGACGACCTCGCGCCCGTCGCCGCGGCCATGGAGGACCTCGCGCCCGTCGCGGCGCCCGCGCCGGGGGCGCCCGTCGCCGCGGCCGCGCCGGAGCCCAAGCCGCCCGCCGTGTGGCGCGCCCGGCCGCGGGAGCCGCCCGCCGCGACCGCGGCCGTGCCGCCCGCGGCGGCCGCGCCGGAGCCGCCCGTCGCGGCGGCCGCGCCGGAGCACAAGCTGCTCACGGAGCCGCCCGCCGCGGCCGCGCCGGAGCCGCCCGCCGCGGCCGCGCCGGAGCCGCCCGCCGCCGCGGAGCTCGAGGCGCCGCTCTCGCGGCCCACGGGAAGAGGCGTTTTGGCGCTCTTGCGCGGCCGCGTGCACCTCGAGATCGGCGTCGCGAAGGGGGAGTGGGTGCTCCCCGGCGACGCCGACTACCGCGACGCGGACCGCATCTCCAAGTTCACGTACCGCCTCACGGCGCTCAGCGGGAAATGGGAGGGGTCCTTCGAGCTCAAGCCCGACGAAGAGGACGTGCAGACGATCGCGGACGCGATGGACCTCGTCGCGACGAAGAATGCCGCCGGCGGCCACAACCTCCGCGGCACGGGGCGCAACGCCTTCGGCGCCTACGCCATGGCCGGCACGGTCGACGCCGCCGGCGCGCTCGACCTCGCGCGCCTCGCCGTCGCCGCGCCCAAGCCGCCGAAGCGGCCCCGGGTCAAGGCGCCCGCGGCGCGCGCGGACCGGCCCGCGCCGACGGGACCTTGCGCGGCCGCGGCCCAGCGGTCCGCGGCGCGCGCCACGGAGCGGAGCCAGCTCGACTCGGTCCTCGCGCTCCGCGACGCGGCGCTCTCGCGCGAGCGCGAAGCCCTGCGCGCGCGCGACGCCGCGTGGGCCGATCGCGACGCCGCCATCGCCGAGCGCGACTCCGCGATCCGGCAGCGCGACGCCGCCATCGCCCAGCGCGACGCCGCCGTCGCCGAGCGCGACGCGTCGGCGGTCGCGCGCATCGAGGACGCGTTCGCGCTCCCCGCCTTTCCGCCGGCGCCGCCCGCCACGCTCGGCGCCCAGCCCGCGGCGCTGCCCGCCACGCTCGGCGCCGCGCCCGCGGCGCCGCCGCTCGGGCCCGCGGCGCCCGCGGCCGAGGGCGGCACGAAGCGCAAGCACTGGTGCCTGGGCGACGACGACGACGAGATCGCGACGCGCGTCAAGGCCACGATGCAGGCCGACCGCCGCGAGGGCACCTTCGGGACGCGCGAGTTCCGCGACTCGTCCAAGTCGCAGTACAACCACGCGTTCAAGCACTTCATCCCCTTCGCGCGGAAGTCGGCGCGCGACCTCGAGGTCCTCATGACCTTCGTCGCCGAGGACGGCCGCGTCTGCGACGAGATCTTCGTCGAGTTCGCCGAGCACTGCGACGCGCAGGACGACATGACCCAGTCCGTCTTCGCGAACTGCGTCAAGTGGATGCAGAAGAACCTCGTCTGGCAGTGCGAGAAGAAGCAGCTCCCGGCGCCGAAGAAGGGCTACGTCGGCAAGGTCCCGGCCGTCAAGGCCGTCGCCGCGCGCCTCAAGGAGACGCAGGCGGAGCGCAAGGCCACCAGCGAGGCCAGGGACGCGGCGCTCCTCGCGAAGCTGAGCCCCAGCCAGCGCGCCGCGCCGGACACGCTCGGCGCCTCGGCCTGCTTCCCCCGCGCCGCGCCGCCCGCGGCGCCGCGCTACGCCGCGCTCGGCGCGCCCTACGCCGCCGCGCCGCCCGCGGCGCCGCGCTACGCGTCGCTCGGCGCGCCCTGGCCGGCGCCGCCCGCGGCGCCGCGCTACGCCGCGCTCGGCGCGCCCTACGAGGCCCCGAGCCCCCCCTAGCGCGTCCTAAAGGACACTCCGAGCCCCCCCTCGCGTGTCCTCAAGGTTACTGCTCGTCGGCGAGCACGAGCGCGATCACCACGAGGTCGAAGACGAGGCTCGCGACGACGGCCGCGAGGTACGCGGTGAAGTAGCGCTCGTTGCCCTTGCCGATGGCCGTGCCCGACCAGGGGCAGAAGTGGTTGTAGTCCTCGACGAGGATCTGGCACTCCTGGCAGAAGATGGTCCCCGGCGGCCGGAACGCGTGGGCGTACTCGCTGTAGGTCCAGTCGGGCCGCGCGCGCGTGAAGTAGCGCGGAAAGACGCCCGGATCCGCGAGCGCCGTCGCGGCGAGCGCCGCCAAGGCCAGGAACGCGAGCGCGAGCCCCAGGGCCCGCGCGGCGACCCAGGACGCGGGCACGACGGCGCCGTAGACGCAGGCCGCGATGGCGCATAACAGGAGCACGTGGAGGCATAGGAAGTGGGCGTACGGTCCGAGCAGCAGCCGCCGCTTCGCGTCGTCGCGGTCGGTCCACTCGTAGACGATGGTCATCGCGCCGACCTTGCGCACGCGCAGGCCGCACCACCACACCTCCTCGCGCACGGGCCAGTGGAGACAGATCAGGTCGCCGCCGGCCTTGGCGAGCGACAGCGGCGGCGTCGCCGGTCCGCCCCGGAGCGCGTCGCGCCGCGCGTCCGCGACCGCGGTGTCCGAGAAGCGCCGCTCCGCGGCCGCGGCGCCCGCCTCCGCGTCCGCGACGTCGCCCGCGGGAATCCCCGGGCCCGCGGAGTCGCGCAGCGGCGCGCGCGCGAAGCGTCCGGCGGGCGCGGCCGCGACCGCGGCGGGCGCCGCGCCCGGCGCCGCGACGCGCCTCGCGAGGGGCTCGTGCTCGAGGTCGTCGACGGGCTCCTCCTCCATCAGGGCGACGGCCTCGGGGGCGCGCTTCTTCTTGCGCGAGCCGCGCGCCATGATCGGGCGGCGATCCCTAGGGCGTTCACGAGTGCGGCGCTCGGGGTGGCGCCGACGCCGCCGGCGTGGACTCGTCGGTGGAGCGGCGGCGGCGGCGGCGATGACGACGCGTGCGCGCGGGGGGGGAGGCGTTCGCCGAGCTCGCTCTCGGTGCGGGGGCGATGTTCGAGCTCGGTGCCTTGAGAAATCCAATTTTGGTGGCGAGCGCTCGAGCGCCAGCAAGCGCACAGCCCCAAGCCGAGCCTGCCGTCACCTTCGGCGAGCGTCCGGTGCTGTGGCTCCGCGGCCGGCTCAGTGGCGAGGCGAAGCGAGCCACCTCACCATGGGACTGGCAAGCGCAGCCGGCGAACGTCCTGGCGAGGCGTCCGCCGGCCGCGCCGGCCGCCGCGGTCCGGACGCGTCGCCGTGGCCGGTCCGACCCGCCCGCGAAGCACGACCTCGCCGCCCCAACGACCGAAGACGCGACGCGAGTCGAGATCTAGAGGGGCGTCGCCGAGCGCGGACGCCGCGCGCGCCTAGAACTTCTCGTCCTCGGAGACGTCGGGCTCCTCGAGGCGGTCGATGGCGGACTTGATGAGGTTGTTGTCCTTGGGCTCGAGGTCGAGGGCGAAGGTGAAGTGCATCATCGCGTCGTCGAGGCGGCCGAGCTTCTTGCAGACCTTGCCCATGAGGAAGTGGACGGACGCCTCGCGCGGCGCGTGGTCGGACACGGCGCGGAGCTCGGCGAGGGCGTCCTCGTACTTGTCGAGGCTGATGAGCACGTTGGCGCACTGGAAGCGCGCCTGCGGGTTCTTGGGCTCCATGAGCGCCGCGCGGCGGAGGTGGCGGAGCGCGTCGTGGCACTTCTGGTTCGCGTGGAGCGTCATGCCCAGGTAGCAGTGGAGCACGGAGCTCGTCGGGTTGTGGCAGAGCGCGCGGTCGAAGTGGTACTCCGCGAGCTCGTACTTCTCCTGGCGGTAGTAGATCGCGCCGAGGCCGTACCTGCGGCGGGAGGGGGTTTCGAGGGACGACGCGGGAAAACAAGGGGGCGGCGCGCGCGAACGACGCACCAGGCGTTGTAGTGGCGCTCGTCGATGCGCATGGCGTGGCGGTACATGCCGATGGCCTTCTCGAAGTCCTCGTTCGCGACGTACTCGTGGCCGCACAGCGTGTACGCGTACGCGAAGCGCGGGTCCACCGCGATGGCGCGCTGGAAGCAGCGGATGGCGCCGTCGTGCTCCTTCTGGAGGGACAGGCAGTTGCCGGACGCGCACCAGGCCTCGGGGCTCCGCGCGTCGAAGTCGACGCAGTGCCGCGCCAAGTAGCACAACTCGACGTCGTCCTTGAAATGCCAGAGCGCCGTGGACAGGAGCTCGAGGCCCGCCATGCGGTGGGGCTCGACGCGCCGCATGGTCCGCAGGCTTCGCACGGCCGCCTCGTAGTCCGCGGCCTCGAAGTGGACCTTGCCGACGTGGTGCTGCACCCAGCCCGTCTCGAAGTGGCGCGCGGGCACCGCGTGGAGGTGGCGCAGCGCGTCGGGCCCGCGCGTGCGGCCGATGCAGTCGCGGGCCGCGCCGAGCCGGCGCAGCACGCGCAGGAGCGCCGCGCCGAGCCGCGCGCGCGCGTCCGCGGCGTCCCCGGGCTCGTCGTCCGGCGGCGCGTCCGCGGCGCCGTCGTCGCGCGGCGCCTCGGGCGGCGGCGCGGCGTCGCTCCGCCGCGCGACCTTGGCCCGCGGCTTGTCCGCCGACGACGCGTCGTCGTAGGCCGACCCGGGGGGCGTCGCGGACGCGAACGTCAGCGCCTTGGGCTTGGTCGTCGCGGTGAGCGGCGGCGGCGGCGCGGCCGCGTCGGCCATGGCGTTCTCCTCGTCGAACGACGGCTCCTGGCGCGCGACGAGGGAATCCTCGCCGCAGGCGCTGCGCTGGTGCGGCGTGCCCATGTCGAGCGGCCGCGGCGAGAACGCGCCCGCGGACGACGCCGACGGCGGCGGCCGCGGCGGCGCGTTCTCGTCGTCGACGCGCGCCGACGACGCGGGCCCGCCGAACAGATTCCCGCCGCCGCCCGGCGGCGACAGGAGCGGCGTCGCGCCGCCCGCGCGCGGCGGCCGCGCGGCCGGCGGCGCCGCCGCGGCCGCGGCGCCGCCGCCGGCGACGACGCTGAGCTGGCCCCGGAGCCGCTTCGCCGGCCGGTCCCGGAGCGCGTGGGGCGCGTGGTCGTCGAAGGCCGCGTCGGCGTCGACGGACGCGCCGAGCTGGCAGAGCGCGTCGAAGCTCACCCACATGAGCGCGTCGAGGCGCAGGGCGAGGCGGTAGTACTCGACGGCGTGGTCCCGCCGGTGCGTGTGCTGGCAGACGACGCCGAGGAGGTGGAGCCCCGCGGCGCCGTGGGGCACGGGCGAGCCCGGGCCCAGGAGCAGGTCCCGCGACGCCTTGGGGCCCGCCGCGCGCGCCGCGCGGTCGGGCAGCAGCGCCGTCTCGGCCTCGGCGAGCTTGTCGAGCTTGTAGCAGGCCACGGCCAGCAGGTAGCGCCCGTTGGCGCTGCTCGCGCAGCCGCAGAGCACGGCGTAGGCCCGCTTCGCCGCGCCCTGGCGCAGGTAGCACGACGCGAGGGCCTCGAGGGACGCCGCCGTGCGCACCTCGGCGTGCGCGCGCTCGCAGAGGAACGTCGCGTTGCTGTGGAGGAAGAGGGACGCGTAGCGCTCGTAGATCTCCATGGTGTCTCCCCGGGGGCGTCCGCGGGGTCGTTCCCGACCGCGTCCCGCTCGCGGTTGGCGCAGCTCCAGACGCTGGGGCCGCGGCTGAGACTGCTCGTCGACGGCAACAAGGTTCTCGATGCCATGCTGCCCCCCCGCTCGAGCCATCCCATCGTCGAAGAACAAGACCAACCTACGCTACGACGGCTAGCTGCCGGCCTAGCTGTCAGCTAGCTCGGCTCGTCTAGGTACCCCTCTAGCCCCCCTGGATAACACCCCCCCATCCCATCGTCGAGCCATCCATCGAGCATGGCTGCCGGTCGGAGCTTCACGTTCATCCGGCACGGCGAGGCGGCCCACAACCCGCTCATCACCGCCGGCGACAAGGCCGCGGGGCGCGCGATCCTCGACCCGAAGCTCACGGCCCTCGGCACCGAACAAGCGACGGCGCTCGGCGCCAAACTCACGGAGAGCAACCGTTCGTTCGACATCGTCGTCACGTCCCCGCTGTCGCGCGCGCTGCAGACGACGGCGTTGGCCTGCCCCGCCGAATGCGCCGCGCGGCGCGTCGTCGTCACGAGCCTCCACACGGAGAACGGCATCCCCGTCGAGGGCGATCCCGTGGCCGGCAACCCCTGCCAGCGCGGCGCGCCGCTCGCGGAGCTCAGGGCCGACTACCCGACCTTCGACTTCGCGGGCTGCGCCGACGAGGCCCAGTGGACGACGGACGGGCGGGGCGGCTCCTTCCACCCGCTCGGCGTCGCGGAGCGCCTCGAGCTCTTCCGGACGTTCCTCCACGGCCTGCCCGAGGACGCGGCCGTGCTCGTCGTCGGCCACTCGGGCTTCTGGAAGAAGTTCCTCGGCCAGGACCAGAAGATGGCCAACTGCGAACTCGTCGAGCGGGCGGTCTAAGGGCCGCGAAGCGTCCGGGGACTTTTAGAGGTCGCTCGCGTCGACGGCGCCCCTTTGGCGCGAGAAGGGGTTCCACCAGCGCGCCCGCGGCGACGCGGGCGCGTCGTCCGGCGGCGACTCGGCGACCTCGAGGACGTCGTCTTCGGACGCGCGGTAGCCGAAGCCCGCGAAGAGGTCCGCGCGGCTCGCGCCCGGCGCGTCGTCGCCCGCGACGAAGAAGGACATGAGCCGCTGCGTCCGCGTGAACTGGCTCGCGCGCTCGGCGATCTGCACGTGGAGCGTCGGCCGCGACAGGTCCGGCTCGTCGTCGCCGTCGCCGGGCGCGTCGGCGAGGGAGCCGCGCGGCGTCGCCTCGAGGTCCACCTGGACGACGTCCCCCGCGGCGTCCGTCGCGCCGCTCGTCTCGAGGATGGACCGCGCGCCCGGCGACGCCGGCGGCGGCGCGCGCCGCGCGTCGTCGTCGTCGTCGCTGTGGTCGCCGTCGTCGTCGACGGAGTGCGCGCCGCGCGCGAGCGGCGACGCGAGCTCGCGCCGCTCGAGCTTGCCGAAGTCGACGTCCGCGAAGAAGGCGTGCCGGCGGATCTTCTTCCACCGCGGCCGGTCCGCCGCCTGCTTCCGGAGCAGCGCCCCGACGAAGGCCGTCGCGACGCCGTCGCCCTCGACGGCCGGCGCGTCAGCGCGGACGATGTTCGCGAAGAGGTCGCGCGGCGGCCTGCGCGCGCGTCGCGTCTTCCACCCGACGTCCACGGGCGCGTCATCGAACGGTTCGGACCCGACGCTTCGAGGACTCGACGAGAGGAAACGACGCGTCCAAAAATCGGCCAAAACGACATTGATGTGACCGAGCTCGAGAGTTTCGCAGTGACCGGCCGTCGGAATCGACGCCGGCGGCGGCGTCCGCTTCGGGAACGGCCGCTCGAAGGGCGTGTGGCCGCAGCGCATCTCGAAGACGATGCAACCCAGGGCCCACCAGTCGACGCGCTCGTCGTAGGTCGTCGCGTCCTTGCGCAGGAACTCCGGCGCCATGTAGCTCAGCGTGCCGACCTGTGTGGAAATCAACCACTGGTTTGGGACGTCCCGACCAAACTTTGAAATTCTCTAGCTCGGTCAAATCGAAGTCGATTCGGCTGATCTTTGGACGAGTCGATTGCTCTCGTCAAGTTATCGAAGCGCAGCTAAAGAGATCGTGTCAAATACGCTCACATTGAAGTCGGGTTGCATAGTTGATTTCCACGCGGCGTGCCGACGAAGCTCCGCTTCCGCGCGCCGTCGGCCTGCGTGTCCAGCGCGACGGCGAGGCCGTAGTCGGCGATGGCGCAGTGGCCGCCGAGGTCGAGCAGCACGTTCGCCGGCTTCAGGTCGCGGTGGATGACCCCGAGCTGGTGCAGGTGCGCGAGGCCGAGCGCGAGCTCGCCGGCGGCGAACGTCGCGCCGGCCGCGGCGATCGCGCGGCCCGGCTCCGCGCGCAGGCGGTCCTCGAGGGACCCGCCCTGGTAGTAGTCCATGACCAGGAACAGCCGCGCGGGCGACTGGAACGCGTAGCGGAGCCGCGCGAGGCACGGATGCCGCGCGGACCGTAAAATCTCCTTCTCGACGCGCGCGCTCTCCGTGATGTTCCGCCGGATCATCTTCTCCTTGTCCATGATCTTCATGGCGAAGGCCCGGCCCGCGTTCGGCGCGCTGCGCTTGCGCACCAGGAGGACGGCGCCGAAGCTGCCCTGCCCCAGCGTGCGCAGCGGCACGAACTCGCTCACGTCGACGACCTGCGTGCTCATGGCCCGCGCGCGGCTCGGCAGCGGGCTCGGCTTCAGCGACTTGCGCCGCGCCGGCGCGGACGCGAACATGGCGACGGCGGCGGCGGCTGCCGGCGGCGGCGTCGGGGCCGACGAGCAGAGGTGGCTGCGAGAGGCTGCCCGGCAGGCCCGCCTCGACCAAGAAAGGCAACGCCAGCCGCACCTTTGAACCTGAACCTTGCGCCGGTGCTGCCCCGGTCGATCGATAAAAAAGACGGGGGCATGCTCCTCCTGCTCTGCGTCGCCTTTGCCGGCCGGGCCGCCGGCGGCGAGGCGCCGCGCGCGCTGCGGCACCTCGAGCCGACGCTGCTGCCGACGTCTGCGCCGTCCCTGACGCCGTCGTCGTGCCCGACGGCGGGGCCGACGGCGTCCCTGGCGCCGACGGTCGTCGCGCCGCCGCTGCCGACGGGCAACGGGACCGTCGCCGACTGGGCGTCGCTCCAGTACCTCATCGAGGCGGGCCTCGGCGCGTCGGGCGTCTTCGTCGCCGGAAACTACGCCATCAGTGACAAGATCACGGTCTACGCGGGCGACGAGGCGCGCGTGCGCGCCGTCGGCGACGGCGCCGCGGTCTTCGACGGGTCGGGCAGCGACAAGCGCGCGTTCCTCGTGTCCGGGTCCCTCGAGCTCGTGGGCCCGCTCGTCATCGAGAACCTGCTTTTAGCCGTCGCCGGCGCGTGCGCCAAGGTCCAGAACGGCGGCGTGCTCACGGCGACGGACGTCGCGTTCCGCGGCAACGCCGGCTCCAACGGCGTCGCCGTCTACGCGACGGGCCAGGCCGCCGTCTTCCTCACGAGTTGCGCCTTCCTCCGCAACGTCGCGACGTCCCGGGGCGGCGCGATCTACGCGTCCGACGCCTACGTGTCGCTCGTCGGTATAAACGCGACGCGGAACACGGGCGAGGGCGGCTTCCTCTACGCGACGTCGGCGTCGCTCGTCGAGCTGAGGTCGAGCCTCGTCGCCGAGAACGTGGCGCTGACGAACGGCGGCGGCTTCCTGCTCACGGACGCGTCGACGCTCGTCGCGTCCAACTCGACGTTCGCGCGCAACGTCGCGGACGAGTACGCGGGCGCCGTCGCCGCGGAGGCCGGCTCCATGGTCGCCCTGGACGACTGCGCCGTGACGGGCAGCACGGCGAACTTCGACGGCGGCGGCCTCCTCGGCGCCGAGTCCTATTTCCTGCTCACGCGGACGATTTTGTCGCGGAACGAGGCCGCGGGCAACGGCGGCGGCGCGGCCGCGGCCGCCGGCGGCGGCCTCGGTTTGCTCGACTGCGTCGTGGCCCACAACGGTGCGACGGAGGGCGGCGGCCTCTACGTCGACGCGAGCGTGCTCAGCGTCAACTCGACCAACGTGACGCGCAACGCCGCGGACTACGGCGGCGGCGTCGGCGCCTGTGCCGATTCCAAATCTTCAACCCGACTTCAATGGGCGCGTAATCGAACGATTTGGACCAGACTCTTTCGCTGTGCTTCGAGAACTCGACGAGAGCAATCGATCCGTCCAAAGATCAGCCGAATCGACGTCGACGTGACCGAGAATTCTCAAGTTTGGCGGGGACCCCCCAAACCAGCGGTTGGAATCCACGCAGGTCGGCGCGCTCGGCACGGGCCACCACATCTTCGACGCGGCCTGGGTCGAGCGCAACGTCGCCACCGACGGCGGCGGCGTCGCCATCGAGGACGGCAGCGCCTTCTTCACGGCCGGGTCGTCCGTGTCGCGCAACGAGGCCCTAAGTCGCGGCGGCGGCCTCTGCGTCGACTCCGCGTCCGTGGCCCTCGGGTCCGACTTCCGGGGCCTGGGCAACGTCGCCGACTCCCAGGGCGGCTTCGCGGCGCTCTGGAACGACGCGCCCGCCATCTACGGCGCGTCGAACGACCACGCGTCCGTCCTCGCGGGCAACGTCGCGTCCGAGGGCGGCGCCGTCGACGTCGTCACGTACGCGACGGGCGCGGCCGTGCGCAACATCGTCTTTTTACGCAACGAGGCCGAATCCGGCGTCGGCGCGGCCATCCACGTGTCTTTAGGAGCCGCCGTCGCCATCTCGAACTGCAAGTCGGGCGGCCACTACTCGAAGTCGTCCGGCGCGTCCATCTACCTCGCGTCGGGCGCGGAGGCGAAAGTTATTGATTTTGAGTCCGTCGGCGACCAGGCGCTGCTGCGGGGTATTATATATCTGGAGCACGACACGTCCTTCGTCGGCGAGCGGCTCACGGTGCGCAACGCGTCCGTCGTCACGGGCGTCATCTTCGCGACGGACGTGACCTACCTCTACCTCGGCGACTCCCACTTCGCCTACAACAGTGCCGAGGAGGGGTCCTGCGTCTACGCGGAGCTCTGCGAGGAGAAGTTCGTTTTAGCGAGGACGACGGTGGAGCGGAACGAGGGCTCGGCGATCTTCCTCGACGGGTCGCACGCGCACCTCGAGAACGTGACCATCCGCGACAACGTCGCGTCGCCCCACGGCGAGGACGTCGGCGCCGCGGGCCTCGCGACCGTGAAGTCGTCCATCTCCATGAAGGGGTCCACGATCGAGCGCAACGAGGCCGAGTACGGCGGCGCGTTCGCGGTCACGGAGCAGTCGTCCGTCTTCTCCTACGGCGGCAACGCCATCACGGGCAACGCGGCCGTCGGCGGCCACGGCGGCGCCTTCCTCGTGTTGTCGTCGAGCGTCGTCGTGCTCCGCGAGGACGACGTCGTCGACTACAACACGGCGACGCTCGGCGGCGGCGTCGCCTACTGGGACTCGACGACGGTGGACCGGGCGAATTTGGTGACGTTTGCGACCATCGGCGCACACAACGACGCGGGCTACGGGCCCGTGAACGCCACGGGCATCACCGCGGTGCGCGGCTACCACGACGGCGTCGAGGAGCGTTCCAACTTCGAGCTCAAGGACGATTTGGTCGTCGAGGCGCTGGACTACTTCGGCCAGGTGGCGGCCGTCGGCGCCACGACCTTCGCCGTGGCGCTCTACGAGGGCGACGACGACACGTCGTTCAACGGCCTGAACTCGAAGTCGTTCACCGCGAACGGCCCCGCGATCGCGCGGTGGCGCAACTCGGAGTCGCCCGTCGTCGTCGGCTACGCGCCGAACCGCAACGCGACGCTCGTCGCCGTGCTGGACCCGGCGAACCTGCCGGAGGAGATGACCTTCGACGAGGGCGTCGCCGACGCCTTCGAGGACCGCTTCCCCGTCTGGCTCCGCGGCTGCGAGATGGGCGAGGAGCTCGTGTCGTGGTACGGCGACGACGACACGTGCCAGCCCTGCGGCGTGGGCTTCTACTGGTTCGACCGCGGCAGCGACTACGGCGCCTGGGCCCAGAGCGGCCGCTGCAAGTCCTGCGAGAACGGCATGATCTGCGAGACGCCCGGCCGGTCCATCGTCGACGTCGCGATGGAGGAGTCCTACTACCGCACCAAGTCGGACTCGCGCCACGTCTACTCCTGCCCCTCCGAGGCCTTTGGGTGCCCGGGCCACGCCAACGCGACGAGCGCGACGGGCACGACGGGCGGGTCGCTCTGCGCGGAGGGCTACGGCGGCATCCTCTGCGCGACGTGCCGCGACGGCTACTACGGCCTGCGGGACTCGCACAACCGCTACCGCTGCTACAAGTGCAGGTCGAAGAACTTCTGGCAGACGGCGGCGCTCTACGTCGCCGTGGGCATCTGCACGGTCGGCGGCATGATCTGGCTCGCGTTCTCCGAGAGCGGCCAGACGACGTTCCTCCTCATCGCCGACACGCAGGGCGGCGCCGCCGACGACATCGTCGGGGCCATCAACGACATGGAGGACAACGACAGCCAGGACTCGCGCGACGACGACAGCGACCCGGACGTCGACACGGAGCTCGAGGCCGCGGAGAACTCGCGGTTCGCGTCGCTCGTCGTCAAGGCCAAGGCGCTCATCTCCTTCTACCAGATCATCGCGTCCGTGCCCTACATCTTCAACTTCTCCGTGGACGTGCCGGGCGCGTACTCCGTCGTCGTCAAGGTCACGACGATCTTTAGCTTCTCGTTCCGCGACATCGTGTCGACGCGGTGCCTGAGCCCGTCGACGTCCAACGGCCTCTACTACCTGTGGGGCCTGGTCTTCACGACGTGCGTGCCCATGGTCATGGTCGTGCTGCTCTGGTGCGGCTTCCGCATCAAGGTCCGGCGCGACCCGCAAAAGTGCGCGTCGTACCGGCAGCTGCACCTCGAGATGGTGCTGCTGCTCATCCACCTCCTGCTGCCCGTGTGCTCCATCGCCGCGGTGCAGGCGCTGGTCTGCGACGACTTCGACAACGGCGACGGCCGGGACCACGCGTCGTTCCTCCGCGAGGACCTGTCCGTGAACTGCAACGGCGACCGCTACCTCTACTTCATCCAGCCCTGGGCGAGCCTCATGATCTTGATCTACCCCGTGGGCGTGCCCCTCCTCTACTTCACGCTCCTCTTCCGGAGCCGCAAGCTCCTGAACCCGACGGAGCACGTCGACCGCGACACGCTCCTCGCGGAGCCCGACGACCGGAAGAACTCCATCGGCGACCGCGCGGACCTCCTGCCGGACCCGGAGTCCTTCGTCGACCGCGCCGAGGAGGCCGCCGAGGAGGCCATGAGCGACGTGCGCACGGAGCTCGAGCTCGCGCGGCGCCACGTGCGCGACGTCTTCTACAACGACTACGAGAACGACAACCACGAGAAAAAACTCAAGGCCCACGAGAAGCGGAGCCCGGACTACCAGAGCCGGCTCGCGCTGCACCGCACGACGCGGGCCATGGCCTTCCACCGCGAGGACGCGTTCACGGATTTGGCGAACAGCGACCAGTCGTGGTACAAGATCAACCACAACGACATCATGTCCTTCAAGTTCTTATGGATCGACTACGAGCCGCGCTGCTACTGGTGGGAGTGCATCGAGGTCGTGCGGCGCGTCTTCAGCACGGCGATTTTAGCGGCCGTGGGCCAGGGGTCGAAGCTCCAGATCGCGATCGCGCTCGCCGTGTCCATCGTCTACACGGCGACGTACATCCGCTTCAAGCCCTTCGTCTTCGACGACGACGACCTCATCGCCGAGATCTCGGGCTGGTCCATCACGCTGACGCTCTTCGTCTGCCTCATGCTCCGCGCGGAGATCGCGCTCGACCGCCACTTCGGCGTCGCAGCCGCGCTCCTCGTCGTCGCGGCGCTGCTCCCCCTGCTCGCGGCGCTCTTCGTGATCCGGAAGTTCATCCTGAAGCTCGCCCGGGACGGCTTCCTCAAGAAGGAGAAGGAGGAGATGGCCGAGGAGAAGAGGAAGCTCGCGCGCTACGGCCGCGCGCTCTCGCAGAAAGTCCGCCGGTCGCTCCACATGGACAACGCCGCCGCCGGCGTGGAGATGGTCGGCCGCGACGCGGGGAGCGGCGCGCCAACCGACAAGGGGCGCGGCGCGCCAACCGACGAGGGGCGCGGCGCGCCAACCGACAAGGGGCGCGGCGCGCCCGGCGACGACGACGTCGTCGAGGCGCCGCTCGACTCGTCGCCGGACGTCGTCCGCCTGCTCGTGCCGAGCTCCGGCGACGCGGAGGAGGAGAAGGCCGCGGACCGCCGGAACTCGTCCGTGGACTCGGACGCCTTCGCGGACTGCGTCGCGCACCCGGCCGACGACGCGCCGGCCGGCGGCGCCGCGCGGCCCGCGCTGAGCGTCGAGGACGTCATCTCGCCGGACCGCGCGGTGCACCTCGACGTCGAGCGCCAGGACACGTCCTCCGAGGACCTCGCCGCGGCCGACACCCTCGCGTCGTCGCTGGTCGCCTGCGTCGGCGCGCCGGCCGAGTCGCCGGGCTCGGACCGCGGCGTCGGCTGCCTCGCGAACATCGGCTGACGCGTCCCCCGAATTCGCACACCTTTGAAAGCGCGAGCGCCCGCGACGGGCGCCGGCAGCGCAGGCGTAGCCTAATCGGCCTTACGCTCCGCCGCGTCCTCCTCGCGGTGCGCGTCGATCTTCTTGAGCTTGGCGACCGCGTCCTTGACGGCGAGGTCGAGGAGGAAGTACTTCGCGAGGGACTCGCGCGTGAACCGCGTCTTCACGACGACCTTCTTGTCCGGGAGCTTCGCGCGGTCGAAGTAGGGCAGGCGCCGCTGGAGCTTGCCGCCGTAGAAGAGGGCGAAGGTCGGCAGCTGGCGCGTGCGCACGGAGACGTCGATGTCGAAGCGCTTCGCGAGGTGCGCGAACGTGGCGACGTCGACGCTCACGAACTTGCGCCGCACGGACGCGTGCTCCGCGGCCAGGGAGCAGAAGAGGGGGTCCGCGTGCGTGCAGGCGTCGCACCAGGACGCGACGAACGCGACGACGAACACGGGCGCCATGCGGTCCTCCTCCGGCGGCGCGCGGCAGCAGCGCCGCGCGAACGCGTCGCCGTCGAGGACTTCGACGGCGTCCGCGCCGGGGAAGGCGGGCGTCGGCACGAGCGCGAGCGTCATGAAGGCCGCGAGGGCCACGGCGAGGCCCGGCCAGAACGTCATGAACAGCAGCAGCCCCAGCGCCGTCTTGCCGTAGAGGAAGACCTTGCTCAGGAACTCGTGGGACGACGTCGCGCGCCGCAGCTTGCCCATGACCGCGAAGCCGATGAGCGCGAAGACCTCCTTCTCCCGCGTCATGAGGAAGGACCCGGAGCCGGGCTCGCAGACGCGCCAGGTCTCCGGCAGCACGTAGCGCAGCGGCAGCCACGCGACGCACACGAGCCCGTTGGCGACGTAGTAGGGCTGCAGGTAGGTCTTCAGCGGCATGCCGCCGAGCATGGTTGATGCGTGTGGTCTTGCGGCGCCGACGCGACGGTTTCGCAGATCGGTGTGGTCTCGCGACGCCGCGCGCGGCACGACGATGGTCGACGGCGGCTACCTGATTTTTCGGCGACCGCTCAGATTTGCCTCAAATTTGCCTCAGCTTGCAGCACAGCGTCGCGCGCGGAGCGATGGCGTCGCAATTGCCCCATTTCATCCTGCAACCAGCGCTCCCAGCAACGCTCTCCGTCGTCGGCGAGCAGCTCGCGTTCGCCGTGCGGCGCGTCTACTGCGTCGGCCGCAACTATCACGACCATGCCGTCGAGATGGAGGCGAAGCAGAAGGACCTGGGCATCAGCGCCGGCGACCAGGTGCGGGACCCGCCCTTTTTCTTCCAGAAGCCGGGGCTCGGCGCCATCGTCGACGCGTCGCACCCGAAAGCCGTCGCGCGCTACCCGCCGAAGACGCGGCAGCTCGAGTTCGAGCTCGAACTCGTCGTCGCGCTCAAGTCCGGCGGCCGCCGCATCCCGGCGGCGGACGCGCTAAGCCACGTCTACGGCTCGGCGCTCGGCGTGGACCTGACGCGGCGCGACCTCCAGCACAAGGCGAAGGCCGACCGCCGGCCCTGGGACGCCGCGAAAGGGTTCGACGACTCCGCGCCCGTCGGCGCTTTGACGCCGGGCTACGTGCCCGAGGGCGGCGTGGGCCTCGAGCTCACGGTGGGTGGCGAGGTCAAGCAGGCCTGCACGGTCGGCCAGATGATCTACGGCGTCGCCGACATCATCCACCACCTCTCCCACGAGGTCGAGCTCTGCCCCGGCGACGTCATCTTCACGGGCACGCCCGCGGGCGTCGGACCCCTGCAGGTCGGCGACGAGGTCACCTGCACGGCGACCGACGGCACGCTCCAGCCCTGCACCTTCACCGTCGCAGCGCCGCTCTAAACGCCTCTCTAACTTGAAGTGTGTGTGTGAACTTTTGTGGCAAGAAAATGGCAGCGCAGTTTGCGGGCGACGCGCTCTGGGATCCGGCCTGGACCGAAGCCGACGGCGAGCGCACCATCCGCGCGCGCAGCGCGTCGCCCTCGAAGGTCAACTTCTACTGCTCCTGGTTCTGCCCCTTCGCGCAGCGCGCCTGGATCGCTCTGGAGGAGAAGGGCGTCGACTACCGCTACGTCGAGATCAACCCCTACGAGGTCGACGCGGCGAAGCCCGGGGGCTACACGAAGCTGCAGCTGCCCATGGCGGAGAAGCGGGCGCAGAACCTCGGCTTCGTGCTCGCGTCGCCGCGGGGCCTCGTGCCCGCGCTCGACGTCGCCGGCGGCGAGCGGCTCTGCGAGAGCCTGCCGCTCGTCGAGTTCGTCGACGAGCGCTTCGGCGGGCCGGACCTGCTCCCGCGCGGCGAGCTCCACGCCTACGCGCGGGGCCAGTGCAGGCGCTGGGCGTCCGAGTTCGACCAGCGCGTGCAGAAGCCGTACTACCTCATGCTCATGGCGCAGGACCCGGACCGGGCCGAGGCCTTCCGCGAGAGCCTCGTCCTGGGCTGCCGGTCCTTCGCGCGGGCCATGGGCGACGGCGGGCCCTTCTTCCTCGGGGCGGACTTTGGCTTCGTCGAGGTCGCGGCGGCGCCGTTCTGGGGCCGCATGCTCGCGGTCGGCGGGTTCTATCGGGACCTGCGGTTCCCGGCGGGCGCCGACGACGACGACTTCAAGCGGCTCGAGGTCTGGTGGGCCGCGGTGCGCGAGCGGCCGAGCGTGAAGCGCACGCTCGTCTGCGAGGCGCGGCTCGTCGCCTCGTACTCCGACTACGCGACGGACGCCGCGACGTCCAACTACGCCCAGGGCGCCCGGGCGTCGTTGTCGCCGTCCCCCGTCGAGCTGCCCATGACGCCCGAAGAGGCCGAGTTCGCGCAGATCGTCGCCGCGGCCAAGGTCAAGGTGCTGCGCGTCGGCGGGCTCCTCCTCGGCGCGTTCTGCGCCGGCTACGCGCTCGGCCGCCGGCGGCGCTAGTTTTATTTAAGCTCCGTGAAGCTCGACACCTTCCTCGCGAGGTCCTGGGCGAAGAGTCGCTCGAGGATGGCGGCGTGCTCCGGGTTGGAATCGAGGTAGTCGTGGAGCTTGTCGTTCTTCCAGCGGACGAGCTCCACGCCGGGCTGCGCGCAGACGACCGTCGCCGTCGACACGGCCGCCGGGTCCGGCGCGCCGCCCCTCGCCGCCGCGGCGATGCGCTGGGCCCAGGTCTGCGGCGGTTGCGCCTCTGCTACGACCGCCTCCTCGCGCTGCTCCTCGGCGACGAAGCTGATCTCGCCGACGAACGCGCCCGCGCGCAGCTCGCCCAGCGTCGCGCCGCTCCGGCGCACGACGCAGCGCCCGCTCAGGAGGACGTCGAGGTGGTCGTCGACGCAGCCCTCGCGCGTGAGGCGCGTGCCCGGCGGCGCGAGCACGCGCGCCATGCCCGTCTGTTTGGCGAAGCGCCGGAACTCGACGGGCGTCATGCCGTGCTTGTTGTGGCCCGCGCCGAAGAGCAGCGCGTGGGTCCGCGCCTCGACGTCGCTCAGGCGGATGGGCCGCCGCTCGAGGGCGAGGCGCAGCACCTGGCCCGTGTTGATCGCGAGGAAGAGCGCCTGCCACCGGCACGGGCCCCGGAGCGCCGCGCGTAGCCGCGGCGGGTTTTTGCCCGTGTACGCCGTCGCCGCGATGCCGCCGGCGCCGGACAGCGCCGCGAGGGTCTGGAGCGCGAGCATGTCGCTGCTCAGCCAGGACACGAGCCGCACGAGCTCCGGCGACGACGCGAGGAGCGGCCGCAGCTGGCGCTTCATGGTCGTCACCTGGGGCCCGCTCAGGAACTTGACCATGCCGAAGGGCAGCCCCCCGCGGCTGAAGCTCGCGGCGGTGGGGTCCGTGAGGGCCGCGGCCCAGAAAAGGAGCCATCTCATGGTTCTGAGGGCCATGCCGATCGGTGGTCGACGGAAGGCCAACGACTTTGAGGCTGGTGTTCGAGGTTCCAGGTGCGATGTGCGGAGGCTGTGCGGCATGTTGACGTCGAGTATCGGTTGAGGATGTTGAGGCTCGAGCCGGGCCGAGTCTCGAGCTTGCCGAGTTCGCGGTGCGAGATCGCAGCATGCACCGGAGACGAACGGCTCTCGCGGCCCTGGCGGTCGCGGCGACGGTCTCGGGCCTCGCCCCGGCCCTCCGCGTTTCCCGGGCGCGGCGGCCGCCGCCCCGTTCGACGACGGCCGTGCGCGCGGACCTGCTCTTCGCCGCCGAGGTCGTCACGGGCACGGCGCTCGCGGGCATGATGTACACGGTCCTGACCGAGGGCAAGGACACGGAGGAGGCCGCGAAGCGCAAGGCCGAGGAGGCCGCGCGCCTCGAGCTGCGACGGATGCGCGCGTCCATCGAGCCCAAGGATTCGTGGACCGCGGCGGAGCTCGCGGCGTACGACGGCACGGACTACGACGGCCCCATCCTCCTCGGCGCCGACGGCCTCGTCTTCAACGTCTGGAAGGGCCGCCACTTCTACGCGCCCGACGGGCCCTACCACGCCATGGCGGGCAAGGACGCGAGCCGGCAGCTCGCGAAGAACCGGCTCGACGACGACGAGGACTACCCGGAGGACGACGGCAAGCCCCTGACCCTCGCCGAGGAGGCGGCGCTCCAGGCCTGGGTCTTCTCCTTCAAAACCAAATACGACGTCGTCGGCAAGCTGGAGTACGCGAAGGACTAGCGGCACGCGCGCGGCGTAAGGCGCCGGACACGCCACCCTCGGAGTTCGGAGGTTGCACTCGTGGGTTGAGGATACGCCACCGTCTTTAGACGCCACCGAATCCAAAGCGGGCGGCGCGCTTCAGGCGACGTCCTTGTCGGTGCTCGTGTCGCCGAAGACGTCGCCGAGCTCGAGGTTGGCGGACTGGGCGTCGTCGGGCCTGCCGCAGCGCCGGAGCCGCCGGCCGAAGACTCCGAGCGCTGCCGCGACCACCGCGCAGACGGGGATCGCCGCTATGTAGGCTAGATGGAGGTCCGTCAGGCCGCCTCCATCGGAGGACGTCTTCTTCGGGCTGGCGCTGGGCGCCGCCGTCGTGCTCGTCCGCCGTCGCCCGCCGTCGCGCTGTCGCCCGCTGTCGTCCATGCGGTCGCTCGTCGCTTCGTCGTGGTCCGTCTTGCGCCGTCGTGCTCGTCCGCCGTCCATGCTGTCGAAGCCGCCAGTGATCTTCAGGATGTTCACGCTGTGGCTGGTGTCGTCGACGGCGGACGCGATCGAGGCCAGCGCCAGCACTGGCCACATCCATTGCGTCATAGTCTTCCAGCAAACGCGCCGCCCGGCGCGCGCGACGTTGCGTCGCGCTCAGAGCAGTGCGGAGCCGCCGGGCTGCCTGTTCAAGATGCCTTTGTGCGTCAAAGTTGACCCTGGCGAAGCAGGCAATGGCTCTCTAATCCGACGCCCTGACGAAAATGGCCGCCCAGCTCGAAGCAAAAGGCGAGAAGTGCTACCGCTTCCAGCGCGTCGATGCCTACGACGGCGGCATCGGCGCCTTCGCGACGCGCGACATCAAACAGGGCGAGCTCATCCTGCGCGAGAAGGCCATCTGCACGACGACGCTCGCGTCCCTCGACCGCGTCGAGGCGTCCCTCGACGCGACGGCGCGCAAGCGATTGTTCTCGCTCTGCGACTGGCGCGCGACGGCGGCCGGCGCGCCGAAGACCGCGCTGGGAATCTTCCAGGCCAACGGCTACCCCGCGCCGGCGTCCGCGGGCGGCGACGAGGCGGGCGTCTTCCTGAACTTCAGCCGCTTCAACCACTCCTGCCGGCCCAACGTGTCGCACACCTGGCACGCCTTCGCCGAGAAGTGCGTCTTCGCCGCGCGCGACGTCGCCGCGGGGGAGGAGCTGTCGAACAACTACGTCGAGCTCTGCGAGCCGGGCGCCGCGCGCCGCGCGACGCTGGCCGACCGCTTCGGCTTCGCCTGCGCCTGCGTCGCCTGCACCGCGCCCGACGAGGCCGCGAGCGACGCGCGGCGCACGCAGCTCGCGGCGCTGGACGACGAGTGCTACCAGCTCTGCCGGCGGGGGCGGCACGCCAAGGCCGTGCAGGTCGCGGAGCGGCGCCTCGCGCTCCTCGCGGAGGAGGGCCTCGACGCGCCGGCGGCGCTCCTGCGCACGTGCCACGACGCCTACCAGGCCATGGACCACGCCGGCGACGTCGAGGGCGCCGCGCTCTGGCTGCGCCGCGTGCTCGCGCACTCGAGGCGCGTCGAGCCGCCGGACTCGCCCGAAATCGCGCGCCTCGAGGCGCAGCTCGCGAAGCTCGCGTGCTAAAGACCGCCGTGCGAACGATGTTAAACGGCGGCGCGCGCCTCGACGGCGCGCCGCCGGAGCTCGTCTCGAGCTCGGGGGTCGAACCGCGGCGGCCCTAGAAGTAGGGGCTCCGGGGCCGCGAGCCGGGCGGGCTTTTCGCGTAGCCCGTCGCCGTGAAGTTGAAGGGGCTCCGCGGGCGCCCCCCCGACGGCGAGGACGCCCGGGCGAAGAGGAGCGGCGCCTTGGCCTTGCGGCCGTAGACCTCGCGGACCGTGTTCGACTGGGGCGTCGAGTAGCGCGCGCCGCGCGCGTTCGTCTTCGACGGGCTGTAGAGCTTCCAGTTGTCGTGGCCCGGCGCGTCCTTGACGACGCGCCAGTAGTGGTCCGCGTTGCGGATGCCCGCGTTGCTCGCGGCCTTGGGCTGCACCGTCGGCGGCCGCCCGTAGGCCAGGTTGGAGAAGAACTCGGTCTGGCACCGGTTCTGGTGGGAGTGCTGGTCGCCGGGGTGGACCTTGAAGGTCGGCATGGACAGCTTCGACAGCGTCGAGTGCAGCGACCCGACGGACGCGTCGTCGAAGACGCTGTGGCCGCCGCTCCCGAGGCACGCGGCGGCCTGGCCGCCGCCGCGCCGCGACCGGCCGCTGGACGTCAGTGGCCGGGGCTTCGGCGGGCCCATGTCGACGCCGCAGCGGCCCCCGGACGTCGTCGGCCGCGCCGCGAGCGAGTGCTGCCGCCCGCGCTCGACGGGGCTCGTCGCGACGTTGCTGCCCCAGGCCTCGGCCCAGGAGCTCGGCGAGCTCGGCCGCGGGTGCGGCTCGCGGCTCGCGATGCTCACCTCGCTCGAGATGCTCTTCCACTGGCCGCCCTCGAAGCGGTTGCTGCGCCGCGGCCCGCCGCGGCCCGTCTGGCTCGCCGGCCGGTGCAGCGTCGCGGGGCTCGTCGCGCGCACCGTGCCCCCGCCGGGGCCCGCGAGCCACGTGCCGTTCCGGGGCTGCACCATCAGCGCCGTGCGGCTCGACATGGCGGCGGGCTCCGGCGGCACCGCGCCGCCGGCCAGCGGCAGCCCGCGCTGTCGAGGGCTGTGTCACTCTCCGGAAATCCGCGTGAAACCGGATCGGTTCACCGTGGGCCTCGAGGCGCACTCTTTACCCCGGCGCCTCGAAGTCGTCGTCGGCGTAGTCGTCGTTTGGCGGCGCCGCGCCGTAGCCGTCGCGGAGGGCCGTCGCCATCGTCGCGTCGAGGTCGTCGAGGAACGACGCGGCGTTCCGGAAGTGGTGCTCCATGGCCGTCTCCATCGTCGCGGTCGCCTGGCTGTGGATGGCGTCGATGTCGTCCATGGCCGCGAGGAGCGTCGCCGCCGCGTTCGGCGGCGGCGGCGTCGGCGGCGGCGTCGGCGCCCGCGGCGTCGGCTCGCGGGGCAGCGCGCCGCGGAGCGCCGAGATCTCCGCGCGGAGCTCCGCGATCTCCGCGTCCTTCGCCGCGCCGCCGTCGTCGCCGTCGTCGTCGTCGTCGTCGGCCAGGGCCGGCGGCACGGCGAAGGCCGGCGGCGGCGGGTCGTCGGGCCGCTCGGCCGGGTCCCGGTCCCGCGCGGCGTCGACGATGCCGTCGACCGCGGCGCCGATGGCCGCGGGGTCCGCGGGTCTCGGCACGTTGAGCGCGCGCGGGGGCCCGACGTACTGGAAGTGGCAGCACGCGCAGACGTGGATCGTGTCGTAGAGGCTGAGGCGCTCGCGCCGCGTCATGGTGATGAGCCGCGTCACGGACGCGTCCGGCGGCGGCGCGGTCGCGTCGTCGGCGCGCGGCTTGTCGAAGACGACCTTGCGGGGCACCGAGAACCGCGCGCCCTGGTGGAGCGTGTCGCCGTAGACGTGGCGGTGCGCCTTGGGCACGGGCAGGTCGCAGTACTGGCCCGCGCAGGGCCGGTCGCTCGTCGCGCCCGCCGCGGCGATCGTCGCGAGCTCGGCCTCGCACGTCTCCTCGTAGCGGTGGAGGCTCTGGTTGTCGCGGAGCAGGTGGTCGTCCGCCGGCGCGCGCGCCGGCGACGCGCGCTCCGGCACGACCGCGACGGCGCCCGGCACTTTGCCCGCGCGCCAGGCGTCGCCCAAATCCGCGCCGTCGCGCCGCGGCCGCGCGGCCTTGATCTGGAGCATCCACCAGCGGCCGTCCTCGTCCTGCACGAAGTCCGCCGCGAGGCTCCGCAGGCACAGCGACGGCGGCAGGAGACCATTGACGCCCTGGAGCGCGGCGGCGGCGGCGGCCTTGGGCCCGCGCCAGGACGCGGCCGTCGGCACGGACCTGACGATGGAGCACCGCGGCGGCGCGGCCGCCGCGGCCGGCGCCTCGGGCCGCGTCGCGCGCGCGGAGTCCGTCGCCACGGGGTCGCCGTCGGAGAAGACCCAGCAGTAGGGCTGGGCGCCGCGGTGCTTCGAGCCGTCGCCCCGGCGCCAGGGCCCGGGGCCCGGCGCGCCGCCGCCGCCGCCGCCCGCGTCGACGACGGCGCGGACCATCCACGCGGACGGGCCCTTGGGCTTCACGTAGGCCTGGAGCGCGACGCCGTACTTGCCCCGGGCGTCGTCGCCGTGGGGCTCGACGTCGAAGAGCGCCTTGAGGGCGCAGCGCGCGGCGAGCGGGCTCCGGTAGAACGCGCACGCGTGGCCCGTCGTCGAGCCGCGGCGCCGGTGGCCGTCGAAGGTCGCGGGGTGCGCCTCGGCCTCGACGCGGTCGCCGGCGGCGCGCGCCTCCATGCCCACGGAGCCGTTCGCGCCGCCGTCGGCGAACTTGAGGACGACGACCGGCGCGCCGTCGAGTCCCACGAGCGGCCGCCGGTGGAGCCCGCGCCGCGCCGCGCTCCGGCGGCGCCCGTCCTCGTCGGCCTCCTCGTCGCCCAAACTCCGCGGCGCCGCGAGCCGCGCCCCGAGCAGGCGCTGCTCGATGGCCCGTTTCTCGTCGTCGCCGAGGCCGAGCCAGCCCCGGTGGCCGTCCGCGTCCGCGCCCCAGGCCCAGCTCCGCGCGACGAGCGACGGCCCGCCGGCCCGCTCGCGGCCGTCGCGCCAGACGAGCGTCGGCGGGTTGCACACGACGGCGAGCGTCGGCGGCGCGCGCGCGGCGACGCCGTCGGGCACGAGGCCCCAGACGGCGTAGCCCGGGCCGAGGTGCGGGTCGCCCGAGTGCTCCATGCTCGCGGCCTCGGCCAGCTGGCGCTGGAGCCGCGCGCAGGCGTCGGCGCCCGTCGGGCCGCCGAGGGGGAAGCTCCGCGCGGGCAGCGTGCTGCCGCCCGGCGGCCGCGCCCCCGCGCCCTCGAGCTCGGGCAGCCGCGCGTTCCTCTTCCGCTTCGGCAGGAGCCGCGGCGCCGACGGGTGCGCGCCGAGCGTGCCCACGTCCGGCGCCGTCGCCGACCGCAGGCCCGTCAGCGGCGCGACGTTGTGCGCGAAGGGCTTCGCGAGCCCCTTGGCGTAGAGCGCCTGGGCCCGCAGGGCCGACGGCTTCTTCTTCGCCGGCCGCCCGCGCCGGATCCGCCGGTTCTCCCGGTCCAGCCGCGCGAGCTTCCCCTCGGACGCGGGCACGTCGAGGTCCTGGAGCCACGCGTCGAAGCGGTCCGAGAGCTCCATGGTCTTTCACCGGGCTGCCGAGCTATCCATCGTCAACGTCTCCTGCCGGCTGCACTGTGATGGAAGTGCCGACATCGGCGAGCGGGCCCCGCGGGGTTGAGGCAGCAAAAGCGCCTCCGTCGAGAAGCAGCTGGGCTCGACGGAAACCGACCGCCGCCGCCGCATACCGCGCGCGCCCGCGTCCTACTCATCCCACTCGCCGCACCACAAATAAGTCAGGGCCGTCCGTGTTTTTATCAATGACGACGCCGCCCGTTACATTCGTGGGAGATCGACGCGCGGGGGACCTCCGGCGGCGCTGGCGGCCCTCCGTTTTGGAACCGCCTCGCGCGCCGCCGCCTCCGCCATGTCACGTCGAGAGTTGGCCCGCTCCGCAACGAACGCGCGGCCTTAGCTTCGGACGCACACCCAGGTACGCGATGCTCGCGCGAATCGCCGCCGCCATCAGCCCGCGCGCGGCCATGGAGGCCCGCGCGCCCCTGCTCCTGTCGCGGACGCAGTCCTGGGTGAGCTTCGGCCTACCGCTCATGCCCTGGTTGTTGCCCCTCGGCGGCATCGCGGGCTGGATGGTCTACCCCGCGCTGACGACGGAGTTCAAGCAGACGCTCGGCCTCCACAACGTCGGCATCGTCCCGGCGCCCGCCGAGGAGAACTGAGCTGCGGTGTTGGTCTGTGCATAACGTGCTTTTTTCTAGTTTATTTCGCGTCCTTCGCGTCCGCGACGTGGACGTCCTTCGCGTCCGCGTAGTCGTCCTTGGACTCGCCCTTGGCGTCTTTGGCCTCGTCCTCGGGCACGAAGAGCATGGTGTCCAGGAATCGCTCGTAGCTGCTCGCGGCGAGGATCGCGTTGAGGAAGAACGCGTCTGCGCGGGCGCGTCGATCGAACGCGGCGCGAGCGTCTCTCCCCGCGCGCGCGCCAGCGAAGCGCGCTCCCAACCGCAGTCCGACGCCGCCGCGCTCCGGCGCCGCCCTTCTTGCCCATCGCGCCGCGGCAGCGGTCGGCGATCTCCTCGGTCGAGCACCCGGTCTCCTTGACGACGTCGCCTGCGAGGCGCGTCGTCGACGCGGCGCGAGGCGCGGGCGCGGGCGCAGCGCCCAAGATCTCGTCGTAGAGCGCGGAATACTCGTCGAAGACGGCCGTGTATTCGAGCTTCTGCTCGCCGTCGAGGGAGGCGCCCACGAACTTGTGCCTGTGTTGCGAGAAGAACGCCACGAAGCGGTCGGCGACCTCCTGGTTGCAGACGATCTGCTGGAAGAGCTTGAGCACGACAGGGTCGTCGAACTCGAGATCGATGACCGCATCACCCATGATGTTGGGCAGCGTTCACCGGGGGGTATTCTCACGGCGCGGCGCTCATAACCTCTGGTTCAACATGGTTTGTTTACAAGTGAATGGTGATGCCACTCATGGTGTGTGGGCATCTGTGATGGGCTGCGTTCTATGATGCCTCGACCTCCATCCTCATCATTGTAAGGAGGAGGATGGGCTGCGTCTTGTGATGGCCTCGACGTCCATCCTCATCGTCGACCAGCGCGAGGCAACGCAGCGCACGCTCAAGCTGACTTGCAAGACCACTCTGACCGCAGCGAAACTCAAACGCACCTACGGCAAGCACACCGGCGAGGACCCATGCCTGTTCGTGCTCACGCGACCGAACGGTCGGCGCCTGGAGCCCGACGAGCATCTCCCGAAATCGGTCTTCGTCGTCGCAGCGGAGCCGTCCGCCGCAAAGCCGTCCGCCGCAAAGCCGACCGCCGCGAAGCCGGAGGCCGCGGAGCCGGCCGCCGCGGCCGCTCCCGCCGAGGACGACCGCGCGTGCCGCTACTGCTTCGAGAGCCACGAGCCGCTGATCTCGCCCTGCGAATGCCGCGGCGACCAGCGCTACGTGCACCCCGAGTGCCTCCGCCAGTACCAGCGCGTCCTGCTCGTCAACGAGCCGGTCCACCCGCAGCTCTACGCCGCCGAGCACGACCCGCGGACGACGATCTGCGGCGTCTGCAGATCGCCGTATTCCGTCGCGCCGCCGAGTCGCCGCGAGCTGGCGGAGTCGTTCACGGGCCCGGAGCTCGCGGAGCAGCTCCGCGTCGGCTCCGTCCTCGCGGTCCGCCCGCGGCACTCCGCGCACCTCGAGGCGATCGGCGGCGCCGCGGCCTTCGTCCGCTCGCTCTACCTCATTACGAACGTGGAGAAGGACGACGGCTCGCTGACCTTGGAGCTCCGGACCAACTCGGAAGCGGAGGCCCTGCGCAAGCGCCTCGACGCCGCGGGCGACGCCGTCCTCGACAACGGGCGGCGTTTCACGCTCGCGGAGATCCGGCGAGGAAGCGGCGTCGTCGCGGGCCGCGACTGCCTCTGGGCGCTACGTACCCTCGAGGCGCCCGCGGTCGCGGTCCTGCGCGCCGCCGAGGACCGCACGGGGCCCGGCGGCGAGGACCACCTCGCGGCCGTGAATCTCAACGCGCGCATCGTCCGGCGGACGGCTCGTCGCGGCGTCGAGCTGCGGCACCGCGTCGGCGGCGTCGTCGATCCCCATCGCGTGACGTGTTTTCTCGTGCCCGGCGACGCCGAGACGACGCACGGGCACACGGTGCTCTTCTGCGGCGCGTCGGAGCAGGTCGCGACGTCGGCGGCGGCGCTCGCGGAGGCCTCGCGACGGGAGGCGGAGGCGGAGGCGCGCGCCGTCGACCTCGCGGCGCAGCGGGCGACGACGGTCCGCGGCGGCGTGGTCCGGGGCCAGGCCGTGCGCGTCGTCGGGCTTCGCGACTACGAGGGCGAGGTCGGCGTGGCCTGCGGCTTCGCCGACGGCCGCTGGCGCGTCCGCTTCCGCGACGGGTCGCTCAAGGCCGCGCGGCCGGAGCACGTCGAGCCCCGGGAGGAAGGGCCGTTCTCCGGTCGCGTCGACGTGTACTGGGGCGACTCGCGCTGGAGCCGCGCGCAGCTTCTCGGCGAGATCGGCCGCGGCCACTGGGGCGTGGCCGCGTGCTGCGTCGCCGACGTCGTCGACGACGACCGTTACGAAACCGCCGCCGCGCGCGCCGTCTTCGCGGCGAGGTCCGCGATGACGGATCCGGCGCTTAGGTAAGTAGGCGTGCCTATAGCTCGCGAGTTCGAGGCCTAGTTCGCCCCAGGGACTCCCTTGCAGGCCTCCTTGCCTTGCCCCGGAGGCCAGCCTAGCTGTCAGCTAGCTCGGCTCGTCTAGGTACCCCTCTAGCCCCCCTGGATAACACCCCCGGGGGAGGCCTCCGGGGGCGACCCGAGTCAGCCTTTGACAGGCCTCCGACGACGAGCGCCGGCTCGACGCCCGCGCTGCCGACATCGCGTGGTCAACACTTGCGCGAGACGCAAACCGGACGCCGTGCACAGGAGACGAGAAATTCACGACATATGGACCCCGAGCTCATCAAGAAGAAGTTGGAGTACGAGGAAAAGAAGGCTCGGGCGAAAGCGCTCCGGCTCCGGCTCACCTGCACGATTTGCGGCGCCAGACCGAAGACCTTGCTGAATTGCCCGTGTGGGACTACGCAGTACTGCTCAGTCGACTGTCAACGCATCGACTGGCGCGACCGCGGCCACCGCAAGGCGTGCAAGAAGATCCGAAACGAGCGCGCGGCGGAGGCGGCGCGGGCCGAGACCCCGGCGCCCCCGCCAGAGGAGGTCTTCTACGGCCCCGCGCCGCGGTCGCACGCCGACGAGGTCCGCGCGCGCATCGCCGCCGAACACGAGGCCGCTCGAGCGTTGCGCGAGGCGAACCCGGAGCCCGAGCCGGCGTCGGCGCGATTCGGGCCGCGGTGTCCGATCTGCTTGGACGAATGGGACGTGAATGCGACGGATTCGTTTCTCCCTTGTTGTTGTCGCACGGTCTGCCAGTCGTGCGTTAACAAGCTTCGCGGCCATGTGGCGTGTCCCCTCTGTCGGACGCCGCGGAACGGAGGCAACCCGGAATTTCTGGCGCTGATCCGCGGGCATGTGGACAACGATGTCCCGGAGGCAATCAATTTTCTGGCTGAATCGTATCGCGATGGTGACCTCGGATTAGCCAAGTCCATGAAAAAAGCCGCGAAGCTTTTTAAGAGAGCGGTTGAACTTGGGTCCGTGAACGCGATGCTGAGCCTTGGGTACCGGTACTTCACGGGAGAGGACTTCAAGTTGGACGAGAAGAAGGGGCTAAAGCTCTGGCGGATGGCCGCGGACCGAGGACTTGCACGGGCGCAGTGCAATCTTGCAGTAGCTCTCTACGAACGTGGCAAACCTGAATGGTATATGACAAGAGAGGCATCCTCTGAAGACTATCCGAGAGATGAGCGTGCCTGCCAAGATTTGAAGGAAGCTTTTCGTTATTTTCAGCTTGCTGCCGAACAAGGGTTTACTCAGGCGGAGCACAGGCTCGGGATGTGTTTCGGACAGGGCGATGGCGTGGAGCCTGACCTAGACGAGGCCAGACGCTGGTATAAGCGCGCGGCCGCGAAAGGGGACAAGTGGGCCATCGAGATGCTCAAGCGCTGCGCGTAGGCTAAATACAAGCTTTCGACCTTCGCTTTAGATCGTGGGGTTGAACGAGACGCGCGAGGAGCTCGCGCCCGAGGACCGCGGCGACAGGTCGCCGTCGGACTCGGAGCCGCGCGCGGACTCGGAGCCGCGCGCGGGCGCGCGCCGGAGCGCGGCGTCGACGAAGGCGAGGCTCTTCGCGCGCGTCGGCGCGCCGGAGAGCGAGCGCGCCGCGTGCCTCGGCGAGAAGCGCGCCGCGCCGGTCGCGAGGCCCCGGCTCTGGAGCTGCGGCGTCTCGATGGACAGGCCCATCGCGCGGTTCCGCGAATATTTCACGAGCGCGTGCTGGAGGTTGATCTCGTGGCGCACGGCCGACGACACGTCCGCGTTGCCCTCGAGGCCGACGTCGATGGTCACGGACCGCTCCACGAGGCCGACGAGCAGGTGCTTCGCGCCGTCGCCGCCGATCTGCGCGTCGTTGAGCCCGAGGTACGCGAAGCAGGGCCGCTCGAGGCCCATGGGGTCCGCGCAGGCCGCGGCGAGCAGCGCCGCGCCGCGGCTGCCCACGGCGTTGCCGTCGAGGACCAGCGACGTGAAGACGTCGAGGTGCGCCGCGAGGCACCGCGCGAGCGCCCGCGTCCCCGCGAGCCCGAAGCCGTTGGCCGCGACGTCCAGGTGGCGCAGCGCGCAGTCGTGGTGCAGGCCCGCGACCTCGCCGTCGCCCGCGCCGCCGCGCGCGAGGCTCTTGCGCGCGTCGAGGCCCGCGGAGAGCGCGCGCGCGAGCGCCGCGACGCCCGCGTCGCCGAGCTGCGCGCCCGCGAGCTTCAGCGTCGCCACGCGCAGCTCGTCGGCGCCGACGACGGCCTCGGCGAGGAGCGTCGCGTCCAGCGCCCGGAAGCGGCAGAAGCTCAGGTCCAGCACGCGCAGGTGCCGCAGCGTCGGCGCGACGTCGACGCACGCCGCGTCGAGGCGCTTCAGGAGCCGCGCCACACCTTTCCCCGTGAAGAGGTTCGCGCCCAGCGCGAGCGTCAGGTGCCGCGCGGCCCAGGTCGGCCGCCGCAGCAGCGCCAGCAGGCCCCCGCGCGCGTCCGGCGCGTCGTCGTCGTCGTCGTCGTCCGCGCCGTCGGCCAAGGCCGCGCGCTTGCTCGACCGCCGCTGGAGCGAGCTCCGCCGCGACACCTCGGTCCGCCGCGCCGTGCCCATGGTCGTGAGCTTCTCCATGAGGCTCGGCGCGTGGCGCGCGCCGTCGCCAAAGGCCTCGACCTCGGCGATCGCGTCCGCGACGTAGGCGACCAACAGCGGCACGGACGCGTCGCTGAGCTGCTTGCCGTAGAGCGCCAGCTTCGGGTCGCGGCCCTGGCGGTAGACGTGGCAGGCGTGGCGGATCGTGTGCTCGCAGTAGATCTCCGACACGTCGTGCTCGACCTTCTTGATGTCCGCGCGGTCCCGCTCGTCGAAGAGCTCGCCCGCGGACGGGAGCATGTCAGCGGCGAACGCGACGCCGACGTCCGGCACGAGGAGCTTGAGGACCTCGACGCGCGCCGCCGTGGGCAGGCACGCGTCGTCCGCGACGCCCGTCTCCGCGACGCGCGCCGACAGGTGGCCGTCCGCGTGTTTCGTCGCGCGCCCCCTCTCCGCCCGGGGCAGCCGCGCGGCCGACGCGCCGTAGCCGAAGCACTTGAGGCGCACGCCGGCCATCTCCGCGAGGCAGAGGAAGACGTAGCACTCGAGGCGGCACCACGCGCGCTCGCCGTAGTTCCGCAGCCCCGCGGGCGCGTCGGCCGCGTCGAACGCCTCGCAGTCGGCTAGGGCGGGCTTCACGGGCACGAGGAGCACGTCGACGCGGCTCGCCCAGGCGATCAAGGACTGGACGCCGAGCTTCTGGGTTTTGGCGTCGTCCTGCTCGATGCACGCGAAGTCCATCCAGACGCAGACCCTCGATCGATCGAGCTTCTCCTTGCGTACGATCGCCTCGATGCCGCGCTTGATGAGGCCGTACTTGACGCGCGTCGCGTCCCGGCCGTCGCTGCCGTGAAAGTCCGCGTCGGGCGTCGTCGGCCCCCACCAGCGGTGGCTCACGAAGACGACGTAGTCGCCGTCGCGCCGGTCGCGCGCGAGGCCGTCGCTCGACCGTGGGATTTTACCGAACGCCGCAAAGTCCGCGAGGTCCATGACCCGCATGGGCAGCGCCTCCATGAGCCGCACGACGCGCAGCGCGTCGTCGAGGAGCTCCTCCGTCGGGCGCTTCTTGTCGTGGCTCGCGACGGCGACCGCGGTCTCCGCGGTCGAGAGGCTCCGGGACGACGCGCCCGGCGAGAGGCCGAGGCTCCGCGTGCTCGACGGCGCGCGCGCGATGGCCCGCTCGAAGCAGGACACGGACGCCGGCGACTCCGCCGTCGCCGCCGCCTCGAGCTCGACGGCGTAGGCCGCCGCGTCCTCGGCGACGGCCGCGGGCGCGTCGAGGACCTCGGCGGCCGCGACGGCCGCGAGCTCGGCGGGCGCCCTGACGGCGGCGCCGTCGCGCCAGTCCATGGACGCGCGGTAGTCCGCCTCCTCGTCGCACTCGAGGTCGAGCTTCGACGCCGCGCCCGACGGCGTGAACTGCGCCGTGACGTCGCCGATGATCGTCGAGGAGAACGACAGGTTCGACTCGCGGTTCTCGTCTTTTTCGTCGTCGCGCGCGTCCGGGAAGCACCGCTCCAGGGCCCAGTGCGTCGGCAGCGCCGCGTAGACCACGGCGACGCACAGCAGCGCCTCGAAGAGCCGCTGCTGCGTCGTGAGGAGGAAGTACGCGCTGTCGCTGAGGTCCATGCCGCGGTCCAGGCCGATGCAGGACGTCACGCACAGCGCCGCCCCGAAGACGGCGATGTAGCCGAGCTTGCACGTGAGCCGGAAGAGGAAGACGCGCATGGACCACGACGTCCGCAGCTCCCGCGCGCCGCCGGAGAGCTTCGCGGCGACGTACGACAGCGCGACGCACGTGAGCAGGCCGAGCACGACGTAGTAGATCTGGCAGATCTTCAGCCACTCCCAGCCGTTGCCGCGGCTCCGCAGGTAGTCGGCCATGAACTGGATCCCAAAGTCGCCGACGGCCGACGCGCGCGACGCCGAGCCCAGGAGCAGCATGAGGGGCGCCGGCACGCCCGCGAAGACCTGGGGGCTCACGGCCGCCGTGATCTCGCACGCGTGCCACAGCTCGAGGAGCAGCACGACGTCCATCATGGGGTAGCAGACCCCCCAGAGCCCGCCGTACGTGAGCGCGGACCACGCCTCGTCGGCCCAGTAGGGGTCCGCGAGCAGGCACGCGGCCCGGAGCCCGCAGACGAGGCCCGCGAGGACGATCTGCCCGCCCGCGTAGGTCGCGGCGCCCGGCCAGAGGCCCTCGGACCACATGCCGACGACGACGAGCAGCGTGCCGCCGCCGACGAGCGCAAAGAGCGCGCCGAAGGCGCGCGCGTGGAGGCGCCAGGAGCCCGGCCCGCCCCGCGGCGCCGTGCGGAAGAGGAACGTCGGGTAGAGCGCGCCGTCCCGGGGCGTCGGGCAGTCGAGCGGGTCGGAGAGCCGCGTCGCGTTGCGGAAGTACGTCACGTTGCGCCCCTTCTTCGGGCAGGCGACGAGGGGCGACGCGACGGCGCGCGTGGGCGCCTCGAAGGCCCCGCGGAGGCACGGCGGCGCGTGGGGCAGGGACGCCGTGACGTAGTAGCGGTACTCGCCGAGCACCGCCGCGCCGCGGCACTCGTCGAGGTCGTGCATGGGGTCGGAGAGCGCGCCGGCCGCGTCCAAAACGGCGTAGAGGCCGAAGCCGTCGAGGGCCCAGCCCACGAGCAGCTCGTCGAGGCCGCCGACGTCCATGGCCGCGAGGACGCAGGACGACGCCGAATGGTAGTGGTAGCCGCGGTCCGCGAGGAACACGTGGCCGCCGCACGCGTCGAAGTTGCGCTCGAAGGGCGCCGCGGCGAGGGGCACGCCGCTCGCGAGCAGGCCGACGACGCCGTGGTCGCCGACGGCCGTCGGCGTTTCTCCGGCGACGGGCGCGCGCGGCAGGTAGAGCTCGAGCGCCGCGAGCGCGGGCGTCGCCGCGGGGAGCGCGGCGCAGCCGCAGGATCCGCCGCAGCAGGATCCGCACCCGCACCCGCCGCAGCATCCGCAGCTCCCGCACCCGCACCCGCCGCAGCATCCACAGCTTCCGGAGCATCCGCAGCTCCCGCGGCCGCAGGATCCGCAGCTCCCGCAGCCGCAGGATCCGCAGCTCCCGCAGCCGCAGGATCCGCAGCCGCAGGAAGACGCGCACCCGCAGGAAGACGCGCAGCCACACGAGCCGCAGCCGCAGCTCCCGCAGCCGCACGACGACGCGCAGCAGCCCGTGCCCGTATGGCACGTCGAGCAGCACGACGCGTCGCCACACGACGTCGAGCACGACGAGTCGCCGCATGCGGAGCACGTCGCGCACGACGAAGCGTCGCCGCACGTCGCGCATGTCGAACAGGATGAACAGCCGCACGTCGCGCACGAAGAGTCAGCGCACGTCGCGCAAGTGGAGCATGACGAGCAGCCGCACGTCGCGCACGACGAAGCGTCGCCGCACGTCGCGCAGGACGCGCCGCAGCACGACGCGCCGGAGTCGCAGGGCGGCCCGGCGCCGCAGCCGCCGGCGGACGACGCGTTCGCCTTGACGCCCCACGGGTGGTCCGGGCAGCCGTTGGAGACGACGTGGAGCCGCCCGCCGTCGACCTCGACGAAGACGTCGCTCGCGAGGCAGTAGTGCGACGCCTCCGACGCCTCGGCCGCGTCCGCGCAGACGAAGGCCGTCGCGTCGAGGGCCAGGCCCGCGGCGGCGCAGGCCTCGGCGTCGAAGGCCTCGGCGTCGCCGCCCCCGCCGGCGCAGCCGCAGAGGCGGCGCTCGAAGGCGTCCGCCGGGTCGTTGGCGACGGCGACCGCCGCCGACGCGGCGGAGCGCGCGGCCTCGGAAAGGATGGCGCGCGGCGTCGCGGCGTGTCGGGACGACGGCGCCAGCGCGGTCGCCG